TACTTAAAATTGAATTAATAAATCATTTTTTGTTTAACATACTATTGAATTTCAGTAAGGATTTCATTTAAAATAAATGCTAGGATAACTCATATACTTTTTTCAATTAAATTCTCTACACAGCATTTAAAAAATCAAGCTAATTAAATAAAAATTGAAAATTGATTATAGAATTCATAACTGAATAACATATTTAATAATATATGTAAACAAATCGATCATTCTTAGTTTTTCTTCTAATAATTTTAATTACAATTTACTTAACATTCAAAGTTTAACAATCATTATTAATGATAGTGAATGATAGCTTTGAACGAATCAGAATATTTCTTAGTTTTCTATACAATATCAAGAAGTTAATTATTTCGGATCAAAAAAAACAATTTTTATTTCTTAATATGGATACCTAATTTTTTCTGATTGGTCGTCTTCATCTTCATTCATATCTATTTTAATCATTTTGACAAGTCTAAATCTACTTTTGCTGGCAATGTTGAATGGTTTTAATTAGATGATTAATAAATTAATTGATTAGAGGACTTTAGATTAAAGATCACTTGATGACAAATATAGATAAATGAATCTAGGATATAATTGTTCTAGGCATTACTTAATGGTTGTAAATTAAATTCATCATTTATTATTTTTTAATTTCTGCTAATTCCAATTTTTACTTCCTTTGATCCTATTTTCTGAAATTATTGTTACAACAATTTCATATAGTTAGTGGATAATTTTTAGAGCATAACTGCTTATATCATTGTAATATGAGATCTATAATATATATTATTGAGTGTTAACTTTCTGAATTCTGGTAGTATAATTAATTTTTTGCTTCTTATCTGATCTAGTTCATAGAACTTTATAATTCCTTCTTTTTTTTTGAGTCTCTTTTCTGATCTTAGCCCCCAAGGTATAAACCAGCCTTAGTTAATATACTATCATTAATATTCATTTGATGAACTATATTAGATATTTACGACATGAATTGTATATTCCTTCAATATAGAAACCATATCAGCTGAATAGCTTCTAGAAAGTATAAACTCGGTTCCCATCTGATTTTGGGATGCATCAGTGCTGAAATTTTTTTCGAACTATAATTATAATCAATTTATTTAAGAAAATTTAGTTAGTTACCTGTAAAAACTCTTCTCAAATATTAAAGCAAAATAAAGGGAATCAAATCTATTTTGAAATGGAAATGCGGAATATAAATATGAATATTAGAATAAATGAATTCTCTGAACAGGTCATTTAATCATAAAGAATCTAAATTTGTAATCAGTTAATAGTTTTACATGAAAATGGATTGATTGTGTTACCATGTAAAGTATAAAAGCGTTAAGCTAAGTTAAACTGAAAATAGATTAGAAAGCAAAAGAAAGAAAGAACAAAATGACTACCGATATCATAAAATATCAAAGATTAAAAAAAACTTAATGATATTTGATTCAAAAAATAGTTGCTTAAACTTTGAATAACACATTAAAATTAACTAAAGCTAAACAATATTAGGAATCACATGCAAAAATCAATTAGATATTCATCACTTAGGGATGCTTATTGAAGTTTAAATTTACTGTTTTGTTAAGAAAATGAACCAGGCCAATATTGAGTGGAAGAGATTACTTTTGGTAAAAATCCTAGGCTTTTATAACATTTTGCAACCAATTCTGAACAAAAATATGTTCTATTTTTTTATTCATCTATTTTAGGTTATTCATCCGTAAAAAGAATAGATTTTTACATTAATAATTTTGAAGGCGTACATGAATATCTTTTTCCTAAATTTTCATTTACAAAATCAGAGAGTTTTACTTTAAATTCAATAGATCGATTAGTTTTTAATTTTCTATAAACAACCCTAAATAGAAGATAATGATATTCTATACTTTTCATACATAGAATACCATTTTCTAATATTGAAAGTACTCCATCTACACAATGCAACACCACTTGATGGTAGAGCTTCAAATATAAATAATTCATTATTATCCATTTTAAGAAGCAAACCCACATGATCAAAATCGTCTTAAGTAAATGCTCTTTGTACATAACAATTAATATCCTTTCCTCTAAATAAGATAATATCACCATCTTCTGCGTCTTCCTCTAGTTATTAGGCCGATATTCTTTCATGCTTTGAAAATTAAATATTAGATACCCTCCAATATCTTTCATATTTGCATAGAGATGTTAGTTGATTCATAAAACCAATTGAATCTTACAAATGTATTTTTATTGTGTTGAACCATTTTGTGGTTTCTATATGATTTGTTCCTTTGAATTAAAAGATTTTTTCTATTTTCCCAGCCGGTTTGATTCTAATAAACTAAAACTGAAGAATAGTACATGAATTCAATTATATTTCCTTGTTTATCTTTTATCTCAATAAGTTAATATGTTTAAACATCAAAATTTAAAACACCTTCTAATTTTTTATGTTCCATTGAGAAATACCTAAAAATCCGATTAACAATTGAACATTATCTCTCTTTATAGCCTTGAACCCAGTGAGGACTTTTTTTAAGTAAAACACCAAAATATGGTTATATTTTATTCCTAATACTTGTAGTCACATTTGCATTAAACAAATCATCATGTTTATCAGAAGTTTGAATTGGAAATAGTAATAATGAAATATGTGGATTAGTATTATTATCTGGAACTTTTTAGGTTTAATTCTATGTTAGTGAAATTGATTATCTGTATTCCTTCTCATGGTAACTATCCATAATAGCTTGTTAGACTAGTTCAGAGTTACAGATTATATTATTTCTCTGTTGTTAATGATCTTCGATGCCAGTTATTGAATCCATTTGATAATATAATATTAAATTTTTTCTTAATCTCAATTTAATTAGAGCCTTTCTCTAAGATATTCCTTAAGAGTAACAATCTTGTCTTAGATGTGATCTGAGATTCTGGAAATCAAATCTTGTAATTGAACTCTTGCTTAGGTTTCCATCTAATAGATGTCTTATTATTATCTGCACCATTGATCTTAACCTTCTAAATTGGACTTTTGAATTATATTAGATTGATATACTTAATTTCTCTCAACTTCAGCTGCATGATATTCCACTTTGCCTTGTGATTCTTCAATAATGCTTTAATAATTCAAGATGGCTTATTCTAGATTTTATCTTTAATCAGACCTTAAATTTGATGATTACAATAAAATACAAGGTGTTTCTCTCGTTAGTTAAGTCAGATAAGAATTATTACCAATTTAAACTTTGTTATTTTTCAATATCTTCATCACTTGATTTGCTTTCAACTATTTAAACCCTCAAGTTGGACAACAATTACAAGACTTTCTTTGCTGTATCAGAATCTGATTTTGCTGATAATTAAGTCATCATTGTTAGGATTGGTTAGAATAACAATCCACTTGAAGTTGATTAACTAAAAATCAAAAACCATAAAATTTACCTTTATAATCTGGACAAAACCTTATTAAATCTTCCTTTAACTTAAATAAATGAAGATCCTCCAGATAGATGTTCAATCAATGCATAAGCTTCATCAATAGCTGCTATTGCTTCTGTGTGATCCTTAATTTTAGATTAAAATTCAGCATATTATAAGTCTCTTTCGCTTTACCCTGCATTAGTTTTCTTTGAATTTTCCTCAATCTCAACAGAGACTTCTGCAATTTTGTTTAAGGATCTTTACAAATTGTTTGTATTTTCATCAACGATTTTACTATGAGCTTTCAATTAACTTTGATGATATGCTAAGTTAGTTGAAAAGTCATGGAGCAATCTGTTACATGATGCTTATGTATTTTAGATATAAAGATCTGAGTCTTTTTATTCTTACTCTAACATAAATCTTGGTATAACATTCTTATTACCTGATATTATTGATATAACTTTAGATTTCATGTACAGGTGAGCCTGTGGCAAGACTAATTTAGATGGCATTCAAGAAAGTTTTTCCCATGTGATTACCATCTATTTCTGCAAGTACAACTTTTGGATCTGCGGCCATTTTACTTAAAGCCTAAATTATAATCACCTAAAATACCAAGCTAATCAATAACACTAGCACGATTCTCATTTTTATATATAATAAATAAAAAACGAATTATATATGCACAAAAATTAAATGATATTACAAAAAACTAGTATAAGATAAGGAAAATACATTAACACTTTAAGATACCATCTTTCATAAATCCAAAATATAGTTCAATATCAAAAAAATCTTATAAAAGTTCTTAACTCTTCAAGAAAAGGAAAATATCAAAAATTAACATTTTAATTGTTGAGGATTGTAAGGAATGAGAACAATTTTTCAAAACTAATTGGAGAAAATCAGAAATAAAAACATAGAATTAATTGGAGTTTGCTATATAATCATTTGAAATAAACTTGAAATTTGGTTACAAAATAAAAAAAATAAATTCAAATTTGTTATGACAATTCTTGCATTTTAACAATAAGAGGAGATGTAGGTTTTTCTTCTATAGAGGGTAGAGAAATGAAATCTTCATTTCTTTATTTGACTGACTCGTCTTCACTAGCCTCACTGAAAGCTTTCTCATAAATTTCTTATAAGGTTTCAGTTTTAATTTATTTTTTTTCTTAAGTAATTTTTTCTTTACGATTTTCATAATCGTAAATAAACCACCTTTTGAAATAATGTTCATCCATATATTTGATAATTTTTTAGGCTTCGCTTAACTCCTTCTTTTTTGGAGAGTCAGGAAGAATAGGAGTAGGAATTTCGCTAATTGATTTACGTTCTTCTTCCTCTAATTGTTTCTTAATCTAAATATTTATGAAAAAAGGCATTGCTGTGCCAAAAATCAATGTAGTGACTATAACTATGTAAAGTACACAACTTTGAAGTATATTAATTTAGTTAATTTATATACCATCAGTGGGGGAGGCAACAAGAGTTTCAATTAAAGCAAAGGCAACACTACCTCTAACCATTCCAGCAAAACAACATATGCTCATTTCATATTTAGTTAACTTCCATACCTTTGGTCCCTGAATACTAAAAAAATATAAATAGTATCTTACGCTATAGAAATCCAGTATACAATATAAATGCTTAAATATCGTGCAAGAATTACTATACCTAGTTATAAGAGAGCAAAGACCCATGAAACTTCGACATAATAAATATCTTATGTGAGTGGACTGTAATATGTGGTTTAATTCCACATTGCAAATCCTAAAAAAACATAGAGAAATGCTTCTGCTCCCAGCGACAAAGATTCGAAAGTAACTCTTGTTGTAACTCTACCCAACTAACTAATATTGTATCCTTAATAATGACTCATCATGATTCCTATCATTAACAGACTTATCACCCCACTTAAATTGAGCATCTCACAAATTGAATAACCCATGTAAGCCATTAAAAATGCAAAAACTGTTTCGGTTGTGGTAGAATTTGTTAAAAATCTGCATTTCTTAAAACACCAAGTCGAAAATAATCCAACAAATAGACCAATCAATAAAGAAATTATACAGTTTTCCAAGAATCGACCAATAAATTCAAAGGGAGTGTACCATTCAAATGATTTTCCACTTTATTGTAATATGGTAACTGCTTAAAAGATAATAATAGAAACAGCATCATTAACCATGCCTTCTCCAAAAACAACACTAAATAATTTAGGATATTATTGAGATGGTATTAAATTAAGAGCAGCTACTGAATCTGTTGCACATATAGTTGCACTATATTTGATCATTTCATCATAGCTCAAAGGAAGATGTGAATCTAAATTTGTACCTAATCTGACCAATTCTATATAAATAATTCGCAAATTCTTACTCCATGAATTAAACGCTATCGTCAAAGTTAATGTGATTATAAAGTTAATTAATGTACTCAGAAATCCAAAAGAAACAATATATTTAAAATTTTTAAGGAATTATTTCTTTTTGAGATTGTACCCTCCAGAAAAAATGATTAGTGGTAAAAGTAAATAAAAGAAGATTGTAGCATTCAAAGAAAACTAAATAATAAGATTTTTAATACAAATTAAGCATATGCATTTTCATCCATCCATTTTAATAGTAAACCTACTAGCATTCCGATTATGATCCCAAAACTTGTTTCATGGATTAAATGGAACTAATCAATCACGACTGCATGCATACGTGAATCGATTTAAAGTATTCTCCAACTACTATGTAAATTACTATGACAATCATGAGTGCAAATGGGACTGCTCCATATTCTGACATTAATTTAATTATTTTATTTTTACTCAAATACTCTAAAACTTTCCTTTAATCATTCAAAACCCTTCATTTAAATCAATCATAATGATGATTCTTATTAATTTAGAATCATAGATAAATATATGTTTATTGAATTTGATATAACTTAACAATGATTAAAGTATCTTATAATATTAGCCAACTATGTTAAATCAATAATAAAATCACTAAGGTTTTGATTATATTCTAACTATATAATTTAAGAAATTAATAAAGTAAATCTTATCAGGTATTTTGATCTGTTGACATTATAAATTTAATCATATTGTTAATTTATTTTTTAATATTTGTTTTAAAATAAAATACAATGAAAATGGTTGAAATATAAAACTGCTTCCTTTCTGAAAACAATTACAAAATGACCAATCTTATAAAAAATAAAATATTAGAGAATGATAGGTATTGAAAAAAATTGATTAATATTAGAGAAACAATCCATTAGACAGTTTAGGCTGTCTGTGAAATTTTAACTAACGCAATCTCATAACCCATACAAAAAGTATTGTCGATAAGAGTAAAATAAACCAGAGTATTCAGTTAGTCAAAGAAATGATGGATTACCATATTTAGTTAGTAATTACTAAAGTTTCTATTCACATCATTCCAATCTTCCAATAAATATTATAGGAATATTTAGAAAAGGGAATTAATTCAAAAAAATACTTCTCCAATCAACCAGGTAGGAATAAAATTCATATTTATAGATGAACAACTTATGGTTCTTGGGAAAACGTTCATAAGGTTGATATGTGAATGTATATTTGTTTGGAATATATGGCACCCAATTTTAGAAGGTCAATAATCATCATTTTAAAGAATGTATTAATTAATTAATTAAAAGATATAATCAATTAATTGCATAGGGGTTTGAATTTCCTAGACTATTTTACTTTGATTTATAGAAAGTTAAAGAATTTTATAAATAATCTAAAGATAATCTTTTGACTTAGGCTTCTCCTTAAGAGAAAAGTGAAAATGATCCATCTGACTTTTATTGTATAAAATAAAAATTAGATAAAAATCATTTTGTTATAGGAGATTTACAGATTATTAGAAACTCAGTACTTTGTAAGTTATTTAAAATTAATATTAAGCACTTCAAAATTGCAATCTCAATTTAAATTAATAGAAGTTTTTAAAGAATTTTGAGACGGCCTATCAAGAATATGAAAAAACCAAAAGATATGATGAATTCATAATTACAATTCAATCAATGTAACTTCAATATCAATTAAAGATGTTTAGAATTTGATGATGATACAGAAGATAAATCAGCAATCTTTGATACTTTTTAAGTGAGATGTCAATCTAATTTTACTGGTTTTTGTCCTTCGAAACACAAAGTTGGAGGTTATTCTACTGATAAAATTAGTTAATTCCATTCTAACAATACTTTAATAGTATAATTGATATCTTAATTTAGTCTAAAAACTCCTCTCCCAATTAAAAATAATAATAATTAGAATGTTTAAATGAGAAAAACAGAAGAATAGAATAATTATTAATTGAAAATTCTATTTTTGCTAAGCAGATATAATTCTTTCAAGATTAAATCAATAATCTCAAATAAAATCTTGAACAAATTAATGGGTGATTAATAATTTGTAGTTTCAAGGTTATTTTAATTTGATATAAAATTTATATGATTTAATAAACTTAAGAACATCTATATGAATAAAACAAAAAGCTCACAGAAGAAAAATAAAAATTATAATTGGCTGTTTATAGTCTGAACAGGCAAATATAAAATTTGACTTTCTTTATTGAAAAATCAAAAAAACTTCAAGAAATTGTTAATAAACTGAATTAAGAGCTAACTCATCTCAAAAGAGATAATGTATATTTACAAGAAGCTCTATTGAGTTTTAAATTAAAGCACAGTTAAGAGAATATATAAAATCTTGAAGACGAACAGTAAAGAATTATTGAAAATGTGAGAAACTATTATGAGGATGAGTTAAATGATTTGAAGTAAGAAAATTAAAAATTGCATGCAATTATAAAAGAATTGAATGCAAAATAATCATAGGCACTTTAGGTCTCTGCAACAAAATTAGTAGAGATTGGAAATAAAATTGATAAAAAATTAGGTGAATAAAATCATCGAAGAATTTTGAGCAATCCAACTCTTCAATCACCTAAAGGTATGTCACAAGAAATATATTAAAATTTGATATAATAACTAACAAATCAAACAGATGATAAATCTATTTTAACTTCCATGTATTCTAAATAATTAATTGCTAGATCTAAAACTAAGCTTTAGGATTCTAGTCTTTTTACAAAGTCCTAACCAAAAATAATCCATCCTCTTGGAATCAATAGCAATTAATTTGAATAATTGTTACCAAACCTCGTAAACGTTATCAAAAAATGATTATAATTAATGTTATCTACATCTGCATCATCGGTTTCATATCGACAAAAAGGAAAGTTGCCTTCTGCTAATAGCAAACTTTATAAAGGATTTGTTCATGATGCCACTAGCAAATTGTCTGTAGGATCAATACCTGCGAAATTGGAACTCATAATATATAGAGATCAAAGCACAAAAGCATTTGGATCCAGTGAACCAAGATTTAAATAATAATTACCTGATAATCCAGGCCCTCAAGAATATGATTGTGGTTTATATTAGGTCGGTAAAGTTCAATCAGAATCCATTTCTAATAAAGGCACTGGAGGATTAGCTTGTTCTTAAGAAAGAAATGTATTTGCCCCTAAATATGTGAATTCAGGACCTGGACCTGGATAATATAATTCAAATAATAGCTTTAATTCTTCATAATCAACTAATAACCCTTCATTTTTTATGAGATAATAATAATAAAAGAGCGTTGAAAAGGTTGAAGTAATCAACCCTGGACCAGGAGAGTATTATTAAATTAATAAATTAGATATGATATGCCACAACCAAAAAAGTCAAATGTAGTTAAATATGTGTTCTCTTCAAAGACTTTAAGAGGTCAATTCCAGAATAAGCCAGATAATCCTCCTCCTGGTTAATATGAAGTGTAGAATTAATTATCAAAACCTGAGCATAAAGGACCTACATCAAGTATAATTTGTAGTTAATTAGGCTTTTATCCTGATGGAGCTTAATTAAGAGAGATAACACCATAATAATAAATTGTAGCTATGATGTTGAATGATAAAGATAAATAAAATGATAGAATATTGCCAGGACCAGGTGATTATGAAGTTAAGTTTCCAGTTTTTGATCCAGATTATATAGTGAAGAAAGAATTGTCATCTTTTGCAATTCAACCTGGAAAAGATCGCTTTGGAAAATAAGAAAGAGAATAAGAACCAGAAAAAATAGGGCCAGGTAATTATAATTATAATAAATTTAAAAGGATCTTATTAACTGCCTAGCAAATTTGATGAAATAGCAAAAGATAAATTACTAGTATCAGGTAATGTATTTATGTCGGAGAGTTTGAGATAACCATATGGTGATTTTGAAAAGAAACTAGGACCTAATCCTAAAAGTCCTTATATATTGCCAAAAAAAAAGAATTTTCACTTTAATCTATAAAGAAAGTGGGTGTGACTATTTTGGTTTTTTTAATCCATATCATATATATTTTATTAAGTAAAGAATTTAATGTTTATTATATGATTATCATATTTTATTTCTGATTATTGTGTATATATATACAAATTTCATTTTTTGATTCTTCTAGTTGAATGTTTTTTGCCAGAATTTACAATTTATATTAATTAATTTTTTTTAATTTATGCACGCCCCAAATCTAACGAAATTACCAAGCTAGCAAAAAGTTCCTAAATATCGACCTGTAGATTAAAAAATATAATTTAGTCAATCAACATAGACAATTTGATAGCAATATGCACAGGTAAACTGAAGAATTGTCCAAATCACAAGAAAGCCCTTTACATAAGAGCATCTGCCTATATTAAAAAAGGTGAGTACGAAATTGCAATTTAAGATTGCAATAAGCTCTTAGAATCAGATAGTGATAATGTTGGTGGATATTATCTTAGAGGTATTGAAATCAAATAAATTAAGGATGTGCTAATGAAAAATTAGGATAAACAGATCTTGCAATTGATGACTTCTCTAAAGTATTACTTTTAGATGAGAACCATGTAAATGCAGCATTTGCTCGTGCTTCTTGTTTAAATCTCAAAGGGGATTTTGCAGGAGCCATTGAAGATTACACTAGAGCTTTAGAGAAGGATAATGCTAAATCTCTTAATCTTTCTAATTCAATAAATAAACGATCATTATTAAGAAACAGTTCTATGAAAAAAGAAGAAAGCTATCCTAAAACAGAAGCATTTTAATATAAAACAAAAACAAATAAATATTAACAGCCTGAAGAGGATGATCTCATGAATCCACAAAATGATGAGGAATACTTATAAAATGATTAATCTTAGATTTAAAATTAACCATAATAGAATAGTTTTATGAGTCAAAATCCTCTTTACACAAGTATTGATGCTAATGAATTGCATATTTAGCGTCCTTCATAAATAATTGATAAAGAAATTTCTCAGCCAATGCAATAACAATTAATTTCTATGATTCCTGATAATATTAAATAAGATAATAAAAAAATCTCAGATTGGTTTCATTAATAAGGATTTGATGCTAGGAAAAAGGAAGATTTCATTAAAGCTATTGAATTTTATACAATGGCTTTGATGTTTAATTCTAATCATTTTAAATCAATATTTAATAGAGGTAAGATGTTTCTATTATATCTTTCAAGGTTTCGCATTCGATAAACTAAGAATGTATAATGATGCAATTAATGATTACACTAAAGCAATAGAAATGGATCCAAAAAATGCATACGCTTATTATAATAGAGGGATTTCATATGATAAAAAAGGAGAATATAATTTAGCTATTAAAGATTTCGCCAAAGCTATAGAACTTGATCCATCAAAAGCAGATTTTTATCATAATAAAGGATTTGCAATGAAAAAAAAAAATTTAATAAAAGAAGCCATCTTAGAATTTAATGAATGTTTAAGATTAGATAAAAATCATTTTAAGGCTTATTATAACAGAGCTAATTGTTATGAAAAGTTAGGAGAATTTGATAAAGCATAATAAGATTATCTGATCGCTAATAATGTTGTGCCTAACAATCCAAATACTTTAACTCATATAGGAATATTGATGGATCGATAATAGAAACTAGAGGATGCATTAAAATACTTTAATTCGTAATTTTACATATTAATATTATATTAGATCCTTAAAGATTGATTCCAACTATGCTCCAGCCTATAATGGGAGAGGCCTAGTTTTTGATAAAATTGGAGAGTATGAAAAAGCTTGCATTGACTTTAACAAAGCAATTGATATAGAACCATAAAATCCTGTTTATATACATAATAGAGGATGTTGTAAGAGAAGCATGAATAAATTTGATGAGGCTCTAGAAGATTTTAAGAAAGCATTATCTTTAGATTCAAAGAACCCCATCATTTATTCAAATATGGGTTTGGTACTTAGAAAAATGGAGGATTTTGAAACTGCAGCATATTGCTACTCTCAAGAATTGATTTATTCATCAGAAAACACAAGAACACTTAATAATAGAGGATATTGTCTTGCTAAATTAGGCTAATTTGAAGAAGCTATAAGCGATTATTCAAGAGCTATAAGTTTAGATCCAATTAACATTCATGCAATATATAATAGAGGTATTTGTAATGAAAGAATTGGAGAATTTCACAAAGTAAATTCATTATAAATTTTATAGGCTATTGAAGATTTCACTTAAGTAATTCATTTACAAAATGATCAAGGTGCTAATGCTTACTTTAATCGAGGATGCTGTTATGATAAGTATTTAGTTGTTAAATTATAAAAGTATCGGAGAGATGGATCTTGCCATAGCTGACTATTCAAAAGCATTGGAAATTGATAATAAAACTAATAAAGTGTCTTGATAGTTATACTAATTATTTACTATCTTAGTTTATCACAAATATTTTTGAATATATTAATATTTCTAATTATTTTAATGAATAGGTAGAGAAAACTAACCAATTTCGAAGAATTTAGACAAGATTACTTTGATGTTATTGCTGATGATAGATCAAAACTTTTTAACTTCTTTTTTGAATACAACAGACAATTTGGATTCATCAACCAAGATGATTATTTATAATGCACAGCTGCTTATCTCAATTATAGAGCTAGAACTAGTCTAGCATTATTTGGAAGTCCATTGGTAGTTTTTATTGCCAACAAAACCCTTTTTAGAAATTTTTAAAGAATTCCTGTATTTAGGCCGGCAGTCTTTTCCTTTAAATATATAGGAATACCATTAATGTCTTTTTATATTACTAGTAAATACTTTTGCTAGGATACTGAAAAATTATTTTATGAAATGGCTGAAAAATATCAATTTGGTTTTTATCAATACAATTAAGCTATGGATCTTTTGGAAAGAGCACATAAAGCAAACAGATTAGATGAATTTATGGAGAAAGGAACATAATTTGATTGGACAGGAATACCAGAATTAAAAAAATATTGATAATTTATTATAATATAAATATAATTCCTTAAATATTATCAAAAGAAATTTTAGTTAATCAACAATCATTCTATAATAATAAAAAATGTAGTAGTAATTTAAATTTGAAATACTTTTCAACATTTTTTCTTAAATGTGTTAAAATAAATGTGATAAATTTTAGTCAAAATTTAATATTAATTAATTGCTACAGTATTAAAAATATTTGACAATCAATGTATTCAGCTGCCTTATTTTTAGCATAATATAATGTTTGCTGCATCTAATTTATTAATTCTTCTATGTGGTATAAATTTAGGTTAGAAATATAAGGAAAATTTAGTAATTCCATATTAAATTAATCAATATAATTTAACAAAAGACATTCATAACTTTATTACTGAAGTAAAACAATTTTGTTATTAGTTCATTTGTCTATGAATAATTATATTAAAAATAATGCTTTGAAATTATAGTCTAAACTATTGCTCTATTTTTAGCATAAAATATTAAAAATAATTGAAGTGAAAATTTACAGTGTTAAATTTTTTAGCCATAAGATAACTTAAAATATGATTGAGTTTTTGTAATTTAGCATATGATTGAAATGATTATGATTTTGAAAATTTGTATATTAAATTAGCTGTTCAAAATTACTTTATTTATAAATATATGTAATTTATTTCAAAGTTGTCATCCTACTTTGTTGCGATTGGTACTAATATAGAAAGAAGAACAAAAAATATTGACTATGGTAACATGGCCAAGATATTATATTATTTCATTTAACTGATTGGATATATTTATAGTCAGTTTGAACGAAAGGCAATATAATATTATGAAAATGACTTTTTAGCATAAGTAAGTTAATAATCGTCAATTCCTTTTATACTAATTATCATTCATTATGATCCTTTGACGATTTTTGCATATTTCTGTGTATTTATTGTAATGTTAAGCACATTTATAATTGTTTTATTTCAAATCCTTTTAAAAGTAAAATCTTGATAATATAATTATAGTCCTTACCATCATCATCACCTATTAATAAATTTGTTAAATTTTATTTTCAGAACTTTTAATGGTTTTTTTTGACTCCTTTTAATGAATGCATGATAGGTGTGATTACATGTGGAAAATAATCATATTTAATATAGCATTCAGTAATAGAACCATCAGAATGTTTATAACAAATATCTCCTCATTATGTGATTATTAGCTTCTTAGGTGTTATTTTGGTTTCATTATCAGGAATAGTATCTGTTTATTATTTTAGAAATTATGATTTTTTGTAAGCAGGATTATTAAGAAAGTTTTCACATATAAATTTTATAACTATATTTTTACACTAACTTTTAATTATTTTATCATTTTGGAAATAAATGTATTAAAATGAATATGTAATTGTGTATTCATGTTATTTCTTAATAATGTTTTGTTTATTATTTGATGTATTTACATAATTACCATTTGGATTCACTACTGAAACGATATTTTATTCATAAATTTTAATAACTTCAATTTTCTTTGGTGCATTAATATCATATTGGATGTTTTCAAAATCTGATGATGGAGTTATTTTCTTAACTAGCTGTATAATTATTCCAGTATATAAAAACTTTAATATTAGTTAATATTTACTTTGAACTAAGCCTATTTTTAGAATCAATTTGATGAAGAGAGTTTAAGATTTTGCTCAAATATTGGATAAACCCTGAATGAGTTTACTTTGGAATATTTTGTATTAATTTCTCATCCAATTACTATGACTAAGCAAAGTTATTTTAAATTTATTAGATATTTAAATATTCATTGTTAAACCTGCAATGATATAAATTGTCCTTGTAAAAAATAATTGAGAAACTATATTACATCAAATTAGACTTTAGATTGTGAACCTCTTTATGTTTGGGTGCAATATCAATTTTAGAAATTAATAAAACAGTCTATGAATAAAGAATGTCCTGATGGGATTTTTGAATAATTAACAATCAAGTTTGTCACATTCTTAAAAAAATATCGAAGTAATTAATATTTGTCTTTTAAAAATATCTAAGATGTTGTTATAAGCTATAAAAAATAATAAAAGAATTAGACTAATTCTTTATAATTTTTCATTCATTTAACTAGATAAATTTAATTGAATAGTAAATTAGATATTGAATAATAAAATCGAAACCAACATTTACTAAGTAAAAATGAATATAAATCTTTAAATGATTTAAATTTATTTTTATTTTATGAAATTTAAATTATGTAGAATATCATGATGGCTCTTTATTTATAAAAAGAATTATGGACATGTTATACTAATGGAAATATAAAAAACTATGATGATTTGATGGTTTAATTAAAAAAGATTTCAATTTAAGATTCAATTGTTCAAAAGGATTATAATTATTTCAATTCTTAAAGAGAAGATTATAAATATGAAAATATTTTAATTATAAGATTGTAATTATTAATTTCAATGGTTTGTTTAGATGATTTAAATAAATAACTGTCTCTTGCTAAAAAATTATAACTTATGTAATAAGAATAATTAGCTTAATCATCTTATCAATTTCATATTTTAAATTATATAAATGGTGCAGCTATTACTATTTAATAATTAGTTTCATTTGAAGAATATGATATTAAAAATATTTCAATAACAGATAATTGTAAAAAGTTTTTTGGATATGAAAATTAAGATGATACACCTAAATTAAAATATTTGATTCCTAATAAAATTAGATCAATTCATAAAGGACTTATTGATAGATTTTTGTTTCTTGGACATAGTTCTAAAATTTATTCTAGTTAAGATACCTTTATTGTAAATAAGAATTAATTCCTTGAAAAGGTATCTATGAGTTTAACAGTGTTATTTCCAAATTAAGGTAGTGATTACTATTTTTATGTATTTGCACATTTATTAAAGAAATCAGGGTCTCAAAAGTATAATTAAATGATGAATCAATAAGGATATATTTTAATAGATAAGAATTTCAACATTTTTGGTATAAGTCAAAGTATTTAAAACAAAATTAATTAATTTTCATAAAATGAAATCAATTTTTGTGAAATTTATGACAAATTATCAATATTTTACATTTTTCCTGAACTCTTAGTAAAATTACAGGAACATTTTACAGATAAATAAATAAGAAATATAAGATAATAAGATGAAGAAGTAATAATTCAAAAAAATACAATGAATTTTGTTTTACCTAATTATGACATTATAATAAATGCTACAAATTAAAAAATAAAAAATAATAAGATTGATTTTGATATTAAAAATAGACATATATTAAACGATCTTATAGAATTTGAGAAACAGTTTACTGAATATTAAAATACATCTTATTCTTTTCAAGTAGAATTTACAATGATTTCCAAAATATTAAATCCTTTAATTGATGGTATATAGAAAGATTTCCTTTACTTTTTAATAGATATTCAGTTTGAGAATGATTAAAAATCAAGTAAATGCACTTTTTAAAAGCTTCCATCTGAATCAGATGAAAATCAATAAAAGAATACTTCACAATAAAAGATCCATAATTAAACATAAAATTAAACATAATTAGTAATTTAATCATTTGAATCCGAAAATCGAGAGTTTTTAAGCTATAAATAAATTAGAGCATCATCTACTACTTCAGAAAAGAGAAGTAGCAATAATTTAAATTTTTAAATCACTTTTCTTCGATAAATGATAACTAATTCTATATTGCCGAATCAAATTTCAAATTTATAGTCCTTTTTTTTATTATAAATTATATTAATAATTGGTATAATTATATCATTATTAATATTTTTTGATAGAAAATCCTCTATGTAATCAGATTGCATTAAAATTATCACTTTAGATTTAGATTTTCTTGATGCATATTCACAAATAATGAGTGGATCTAGACATTTAATATATTATAGGGATTTTTATACATAAATGAATGACTCCACTTTGTTAATTGATAATAAAGTCTTAAATTTTAGCAAATACAATAGACTATATATTGCTTGGAATCACTTAAATCTTGGATTGAATAGATTAATAAGCATATATGAATAAAATAGTAAAGTCTTTTAATAAAAATCAGAAGAATCTATAAATATTTATATTATTAATGGTAATCTTTAGAATAAAATAATTTAACCAGTTTCTGAATTAACTACTTATTTTTAAATAATGTTTTAAATTTTCTACTTATCTTAACAAACTTAAAGTTAAAATATTTCAAATTATTTATCAGATTCAATAGACTCTTACTCAACCTAAATCAGTAGATCTTTGGTATACTATAATTATTTTGATGTTGTTAAGATTTTCCAAATGAAAATTGATTCTTGTAAAAATTACAATAATTATATAAATGAATATTTAGACTCTATTTCAAATTATGTATTTGTTGGCTTCTACATTATTGCTATTTTAATTGCCCTCTCATAATTGATATTCAACTATAAAGTAAATAAATAAATAAAATTCAATTTTGATATATTCGTCAAATGTGATTCTTCAGATGGAAATCTATTTATAAGAAAAAATGATTAGTTGAAACATATTTTAACAAGTAATTCAGTTCTATTAAGAAAATAAAGTTTCATGAGACTTCTAGAAAAACCTTTTGCTGAGTATGATCAAATAAAGGTTTAAAATCATAATTCAATGTCAGCAATAGTAAAAACTTTCAATTCTTAAGATAAACATATAGTAATAAAGAATCATCTTTCAAAGTTTAATTAAATAGTCACTTTGACTTTTATTTGTGTTATAGGACTGAGTTATGGAATGGGATTTCAAATATATTATAATATCATTTCAAATAATGTATAACCTTATAATGAAGAAGCTATAGATTCTTAATAGCTTCGATTAACTTCAATCACAACAATTAACAAATATGATTAGTATTTAATTAAGACTTTATTTGAGTCTTATTATAATTTAGCATTAAATGATTCTTCGTTTATTGTAACTGAAAATATATTATCTGATTATTTAATACTAAATTAATTAGAATTTAATACTACTCTTTTAAGTTAAGAAATTAAAGAATTTTAACATTTGAATTTTACAAATTTTCTATTTAATTCTAAAACTTTTAAAACTATAAGTGAAAATGAATAAAATGAAATTTTATTACATGATACTTGTGTTTTAACAGGTTGTGATATGTATTCTTAATTGCTTAAACAAAGAATGTTTAATGAAATCTTAAATCCATTTTTTTATTAAGGAATAGTTAACCTACACTATATATTGTCTTAAATATATTATGAAATTGATATAAGTTTATAATATCCATAAAGTAATTTAGATAGATTTAAGAAAATTCAAAATTTTTTTAATGAACATAATTATATGATTTATATAATGTGGGGACTTGATGCAATTTAATTTTAAATTGGTTAATTTTGTTAATATTTTGTGAATGTTTCTTTGGATGCAATATCCAATTTAACCATAAACTCTTAATAGAGCATTATTATTTTTGGTCTCGTAACAATATTTGCTATAATAATTCTATAATTGCTATTTATTTATTACTAAATTTAAAGATATCACTTATCGAAATCACTTTTGAAATTAATTCCTCTCGAGATAATTTTCAAGAAAAACTTATACAAATAATTAGTACTTCATGAAAAAAGAAGTCGAGTTGATTTAACATTTTAATTTTGAAAATTGCATGAGTACATTACTATAAATGCTTAATTTTAAAAAGTTATTTTTTTATCAAATATTTATGATGTTTAATTTATTAATTACAATTATTATTAAAACCTAAATAAATAAAATATGAGTTCTTAAAAGATTACAGACTATAAAATACTTTAGGTAATAACCAAAAAATCAAAAGGAAATGAGAAAACAATAAAAAAAGGAAATGAAAGTAACTCATCATATGTCCCAATGAGAAGTGTTAAACTCATACCTCCTCAACAACCTTAAGATAATTAATAAAATGATTTAACAATAATCCCTGAAGACATCAGAGCATGTTATGAAGTTGTTCCAATAAGTGTAAGTGATGAAAGAAAACAAGCCTTAATAGGAGATTTCAAATAAGAAATTTGTTTCTCAACATAAGACCCTAAATTATTAAAAAGAGCAAATACAGAAATCAATTTTAATGATATATCCCTTTGCTTTTTATAATCAATTAAGTTTTTCAAATAAGAAAAAACTAGCAAGAATTTAGGTAAACTCACTAACAAATTACTATAGGATAAAAACAAAGGAAATTAAATAAACATTTCATATTAAGTAGGAAAGAATTTCAATATTATGAATTATTTCATCTATCTTTTTTACATTAACAACATTTCCATTTTGCTTTTGAATTCCATGTTTTGCTTACATTAAAATCAAATTAATAACTTATTTATACAAATTTTGTAATTGCTTATCTTAACAATAAATTGTATTCATAATAGTACAAAATATAAAGAAGATATTTATGATAAATTGTAAATCAACAAATAAAAATACTTATATAATATTATAATCAATATCTTTCAAATTATATTCATAATTTTACTGACATTAATAATATAATTTTAGGTTTATTAAGAATTGTTGATTGTATGTTTGATATTACTTAATATTATAACTATTCAGCAAATGAGTTAAATTTAATATATGTGGGAATATGAAAATATTATTAAACTCATCTTATTGGCATTTTAATAATGTCATCTATTTTGTTGTGTTTATCTCCTTTTAACAACTGAAGATTTTGCATCTCTTAATGTTAATGATTAATTACATTAATACTTAACTATTTACTTATAATTCTTTAGTTATTTAGTTGGCATTGATCTTTCATATTAAAATATTGAATCAAGAATTGAAATATTAGTATTTATTTTGTATACATGGATAATCTTTTTGATAATCAAATATCTATTTATAATTTAACTTTATTTACTTGCATAAGTGTAGAAGACAACTTTTAAAGATAAAAAGAATATGATTGATTTTTTGGATTTTTTAAAATCATTAAAGATTAATTCCTCAAAAGTTAGAAAACTGTTTAATCAAATTTAATAATAACATATTTAACAAAGATCAATTGCAAAGATTAAGAACATAAACTATTTGATAAATTTTTATGGAATTAAGGAATCATTAAGATAATAGATAATTTATTAAGATAAAATACAACATTTGAAATACTTTAATTTATTTAATTAATTATCAAGATAAAGTTTAAGTAATTTAACAAATGTTATTGAAATTTAATATTATAGAAATGAAGAAATAATAATTAATTAAGATTAATTGGATGATTGTTCTATATATATAATTAAAAATGGATAAGTTGAAATTAATTTTTAAAATTCACAAAATAGTATTGTTGGTGTTAAAATATTGAGTGATCATGAATGTTTTGGTTAAATAGCATTTTTAACTGGTTTACCTAGATGTGCTACAGTGAGAAGTATAGGAGAATCCTGTATTTTTAAACTTAATAGAGTAAATTTCTTGGCAACAATAAATAATAACAATTATGATAAAGTATTTATCTATTAAATAATGGTAGGAACTTATTAACAAAATTACAAATGAAATAATTTTCTCAAATTAATTTGAAATTCTTGGAATTCATTGTTATAATTGTTAATCATAAAATCATTTGATATAGAACTGTCCATAATTACATTTAGAAGTAAAGAAAGAATAAGTGATTTTGGATATATTGGCACCTTCTGAGTAAAAAAGACATAAATGTATTTATGCGAATTAAATAAGTTAAAAGGAGAGATAGTAAAAGTGGAAATACAAGATTTAGTGCATTAAATATTTAAGTGAAATGTTAAGAGTTTTAAGAGGATTAAGGTTATGCATCCTCTTTGGGAGAGACAGATCATACAAATTATTAATAGAATTAATCTCATTATACTATAACATAATCTTCAATTAATTATCCATCAAAAATATTAGTAGGTTAAAAATTATCATTAAGACCATCTACTCTTGAAAATGTATAAGGATTAGAACCATAAGAATCTTTAAAAGAACAATAATTTAGAGAAATTGATTAAATATTTATTAGAGCTAGTAACCCAAAAGCTACTACTTCTACAGCAGGATTTGGTTACAAAGAATAAACTTCTTAAAAAAGTCCACAAACAGAAAATGTTAATAATACTATAGATGAATAATAAATTGAAGATTCAAGTAATGAAAGTTCATCATTTTCTGATGATTAAGTTTCTGGTACTTCAAGATAAACATTAGATTAAAAATTAAGACCAATGAAATAAAGTAATAATAGATCTGAAAAGTATTCTCAATATAGAAGTGGTGTAAGTAGTATTTCAATGAATAATACTCCAAAACATTCTTAGTTATCAATTTTAAATACTTTCACATTAAAATCAGATATGAATAATAATATTCAATAAAGTGGAGGAACCAATCATGGTTCACAAAAAATAATTAGTCCATTACATTTGAGAGAAAAAGAAGATAGATAAAATACTTTAACAATACCAGGAGGTAATAATATATTATAAGTTCCATCTAAAAAAAGTTTAATAAATCCAATATCTTAATTAAATTATGAGATGTCTCCTTTTGTTGCATTTCCTCAACATGTAAAATATCATATTTAACAAAGCATCCTGCAATTTATAATGAATTATAATGGAGTCCTATAGAGATTGATAAATATGAAATTTACAAAATATTTTATCCAAAATACAATATTGATGTAGTTTTAGAGAGTTATCATAAAGAAAATGCTTAAAAGTAGAAGTCAAATATTAAAGAGTTATTTAAATTAAATACTTTTTGATTATCAAACAAATGAAAATTTTTATTATTTTATGTCAACTATTTTGCCTTATTTGATAAATAAAACCAATAACATTTTATTGTTAAGAGGAGATGTAGGAAAAGCAAAACCTTCTGTATCAGATCTACCTGATTTCAGTTATTCTTATGGTAAAAAGATTAATAGAGATGGAATTGGAATGAAAGAAATAACATCAGATTGGTAATATGGGATCAGTTCACATCATAAAAAGTCTAAAACAGTTAAATTACCAGAAGATACTTTTGTTTATGGACTCAAAAACAAGTAACCATAATCATATAATAGAGTAGACCTTCAACTCCTTTTGGGAAAGTGATTAAAATGAATTATGGAAATGAAGCAGCAGATATTATAGAGAATCTATATCGAATGAGGAGTTAACGAATTCCTAAGAAACAAGTAATATAAAAGAATAGATCATATTCTTTGAGATTAGAACATAATACAAAATAAAAAGAAGAAGAACATAAAGAATTTAAGATAAAGAGATTTTTAGAAATAAAATCGAAAATATATTAATTATGATTTCTATATTGAGAAATTAGCAATTAAATTTTGTTAGCAGATTCTTCAAGACAACTTTATTATAGTAGCCTGCTATGAGAAGAAGAACAATAACTCCAATATTCCCACCACCAGGATACAACTTAACTATTCCAGATTGGCCAGTTGAATAGTTTATGTTAAGAATAGGAAAAGGATGTTCAGATTATGCAGATAAATTTGAAAAATTGACTGAAGTATTTGAAGCAGATAGAGTAAATTATTATTTAAATATAGTTTTAAATGAAAGAGAAAGGCATACCTCCAAAGGTGAGAAAATATATATTTTCAATCAAAGAGTAATTACGTAGAGGAGTACTTACATTTGAATATTTAGAAAGGAGAACATCAGTCACAATACCTAAAAAAAAGGTAACAAAAAAATGAGTTTATATTATTGTATAAGTTTTATCAGCAAACAGACATTAAGAGTATAATTTATCACTTGAAATAAATTCAATCTATAAACATAATTCAAGATATCAATCCACTACTTGTAAAATTTTAAAGGTACATACTATCTCTTATGAAATTCGCTTCTTAAATAATACCTTTAGCAACCCAACTTCCATTCTAATTTTAATAAATTCTGACTTCTCTTGAAGTAATAAATGCTTAATTTTCATCCATTTTTTTACTTTCACAAGACACTGCTAAAAGATTAGCCAAAATATTCCAAGACAATCTATAAGCATGATAATTTGGTTTAGTTTCTCTATTAATATTAAAAACTTTCATTTTTTCTACTTGAGTCTCATATACTATTTTAATTTACCATATTTTAACTCCTTCAGCACTAGCAGATGCAATTAAATGAAAACTTTTTCCATGTTAATTAGCCCATTATACATCATTTATAGTTTTCTCTTCATCAAATTCATATATCTTTTTCATTCCAAATTTTTAATTCTCATATTCTAACATCCATATAGCCATAGTTTTTACTCCATTAAAATGATCCATTTTTATTTTACTTAAATATTTTTATTATTCTGCATTACCTGCAGCAACCAACATCTCTCTTTCTAATGGAGCATGATTCCAAGATATTGCTCTTAATCCATATACCATTATTTATATATCTTCACCTTCTTTTATGAATTAATTCTACTCATAAACTCTATGAATTTATAATTTTCCATCAACATATGCTATTGCCAATAATAAACCATTTGATTTTGAACCAAATTATATGTCAGCTACAGCTTCCTTACTCTCTAAAATTAATATTCTCTATTTCCATTATATAATTATTTATTTCTATCCTGATGGACTTTCTTGTAAGTATTTCTTTTCTTCCCATACACATACACCTTTGTCTTAACTACAAGTAGCTATCAATGATCCAAATTTAGGATCTGCCCATCTAATCTTCCAAATTGGACCATCATGACATTTACATTCAGCACTCTTTTCCCATTTCCTATTAAATAAGATTATTTTCATTTATTTACCCATTTACTTTATTGTAAACTCTCATTGTTTGATCACTTGAAGCTGTTGCAAATCGATTCCCATCAAAATTAAAAGCTATATCGTGAATAATATCCTAATGAGAAGTTTCTATTAGCATTATATTAATTTAACGAATATGATTAAACCAAAGAAGTCTTCACGTGAACTATGGAATTAATTGGGTTTACGTAATCACATTAAACAGGTCTTTGAAGAGAAAGAAAGTAATTGGGGTTAAATCGTTGATTCAAATAAGAAGAATCTAGTAATTCATTAAACTATATTCAGAGCCAAAGATCTATCTCAGAATATGCAATCACCTAAAAATTAAAAGAGCAACATAATTCTTTTATTAAAAATAAAGAGAAACCTAATACCAAGACTTTTTTAGAAGATTAAATTGAAAAAGGAAATTAAGACAAAGATGAATGGTTATAATTAGCATTAATAAATGAAAAATCTCATTTCTCACCTATAAATAAAAGAAATTCAAATGATTAGACATTTTCTCCAATCAATAGATTGAAAAATGAGGAATAATAAGTAAGTCAGCAATAATCATTCTAAGTATAAATAGAAAAAACTAATATTTGCAAACTCCCAGGTCATGAAAATAATTAATATAAGTTTATATGTATAGATAATGATTGTCCATATAAGTTATAAAAAGCATGTGCTCATTGTGTAATAAAAATGCATACTAAACATGTTAGCAAAATGAAAGAAATTGAAAATTATGAGTATTTGATTGAATAAAATATTAAAAAAGCTGAGGAATTAATGGATTAAAGTTAAGAATTATTTAAATCAATTTAAAAACCTTATGAAAATTACTTTCTTCAAATTAAAAATTAAATTATTACTCTGATTAATGATCTTTAATAAAAATTGTTGTAAATTAATAAGGATTAAATTCATAAATTGATAAATAATGATATTGAAATTGTTTAGAACATTAATTCAAAGTTTGAAGCATATAAATTAATGAATTAATTAATCCCAGATGAAATTATTGAAGATTACACGCGTATTATAAAAGGTATTTCTGAAAAGATTAAACTCAATATTAATTTTGACATTATTAACAGATAAATTGAAACATTTGTTATGTCAATCTTTTCTCCAAAAAAATAAAAGGAAAATAAAGAATAAAATGATGATACTGAACTATTACAACAATTTATATCTACTAATAGAGATTCAAATAAAGAGTCAATTCTTAAACCAAATAATTCAATGACATGTTGTTCTCATCCATCTCCTTTACAAACCAAAAAATAATTATAAACAAAACTTGTTATGGGATCTGCTTCTCCATTAAATGTTTTCAATCGTTAAATAAATGGAAGGCAAGTTACTAAAATAATTTAAACATAACCCATAATCTATTATAGAACAAACAGTTGAAATAAAGACTCTGATTAATAAATATATCTATAGTATTATGATATACTAATTAAATTATTTATTTTACTTTTTAATTTTCCTAAAATTACATCTTATCATATATGATGATTAATATAATTGAAATACTTTTTTAATATAGAAAAAGTCCACTTAAAACTATATTTTTAATATACTATCTATTTAATATAGTTTATTTTATAGTAAATATTAAATGATGGAGTTGAAGAAAATATGAAGCATATTATTATTTTAAGTTTATATTACTAATTAAAAGATATTAATAATGTAAATTATTAAGAGCAAAACAGTGTAGTAATTAGTGCATCGTTCACAATACAACAAAATTGTGTGGCAATCTTCAAATCCATATAATAAGAGATGGCAATACAAATTTAAGAATGCTTATTATACATACCCAAGAGATATTAATTAAGAGCATACATATGTAAAAACACCAAAAGATAACTGGGAATCAGTACCACTTGGATGGGCATGGATTTAAGATTTATTGCATAGACATGTAAGATTTAAAAATTAAATTTAAGGTCCCAAATTTCTCATGTTTAATTGAAAGAAGACATAGATTATTTGATAAATTCAATGTTTATTTCTTACCTGCATTCAGTCTCTTCTTTTATTAATTCTATCCTTTAGCATTTGGATTCAAAGTAATAAGTTTCAATTAAAAATAGGTTTTAACAGTTTTACCATTAGCTATGTTATATGTGAGAGCAAGAGATAAATGTGGTGATCCTGATTTTAAGGAAACTTACCTTAGAGATATGCTTTATAAGAATAATGAGATTAACGCTCTCTTCAAAGATGAAACTCTTCATGTATTAGATTACGATTGTGAATATGATCGTGGATATCCATGTCCTGAAAAGTTCCCAGAATTCAAAAATAAAGTATAGATTAAAAATAATATCCTTAGTTTTGGTAATTCTTTAACACTGATACTTCAATGACAACTGGATATTTCAAAATGGCTGATGTTGAAACTGGTGCAGTTATGAATTTGAAATTTAAGACTATGCCTGTTCCAGGAAAATATAGATATTAAATTGGAGAACCATTCTATTTCTATGATTTGAGAGGTATTCTTCAATAATATTTATTTTTAAAGCTGAAATAACTCATAATGGCTAACACAAAGAGGTTGTTTTAGTTGATGAGAAAGTTGCTTTATAAAAAATAAGACCATTTTTATTAATTATTTGAAAAATAATATAAGAATCAATCTAGCATATTAAAATTATATTCAACTTAATTACTTTATTATAATTTACGATAAGTGTTAGCCATCCTTTATTTAATTTTTTCATTTATTAGTTTTTAACTCATTCCTTTTTCATTTTATTTAGATTCTGTTTCTTTTTTTAAAATTTACTATGGATTTAAGGATTTTTGCTCAGTCCATTCAATAACAAACTCATACCATATTTAATCTCCTATTACTTATCCAAATAATGAATACATTACTAATTTCAACTCTTAAACATCTGATAAATGTCTTTTATTTTAATATAATTTTAATATTCTTTCCTATTCTTCCTTTTAAAGTTATTCAAGTTATTACTAAAATTAAACTAATTTTAAATTATAATCTTTAATAATTAAATTTCCTTCACTAGGCATATTTTATAATTTAATTTGGGTATCTTCTTTATCTTATAAATTAATAGATTCTAATTCCTAATTTTCCCATTTAATTACATGAGCAAAAGATGAAGGATTCAAAGGATCTATTCCTTAAACAAATACTGGTTTTTTGATAGAAACCTTACTTCTTTTAAGCATTGTCTTCACTTAGTTTTTCAATTAAGATACACTTACAGGTTATGTTGAAAATAAACATTATTATGATTAAGTACTTTTTAAATTAGTATGATTATGATTTAGTTTTTAAGATTGAGATCTAGCATCTTCTATTTCTATTTCTAATTATGCAGCTTTAAGAAGATATTGTCTTGATTAATCATCTAAATATCTTGGAAATTATTCAATTTTAGCATTTTCATTGATTTTTTTCATTTATTTAATTATTTGAATTAATCCTTCTGGCATCAATTATTCATTTGCCTCTTAAAGTTATTTTAAAAATATATCTTTTAATAACATCTTACATCTTCTCTTTTTTTATCTTAATTCATCTAATTCTTTCTAAATTACTTCCTATTTATCTATATTTCTATGCATTTCATCTTTTATTTAGTTAATGAATTTTTAAATATTTCTAATTTCTTAATCTCTCTATTATATAATTTTTTCAATAATTTCCATCATGTTCTTTTTTTTACCTTCTTAATCAGGAACATAACCTAATCTCACTTTTTCTTCTTTTCCATAATATTTTCTTCTTATTTCACTTATTTCTTCTTCCTTTTTAGTTGTTTATTAAACTAATTAATTATTATCTAATCTCATTTAATATAAGGTTTATTTATTTTCTTTAATTTAAATTTAGAACTATTAATATGATTCCATTAATTATTTTGCAGAAGATGATGNAAATAACTCATAATGGCTAACACAAAGAGGTTGTTTTAGTTGATGAGAAAGTTGCTTTATAAAAAATAAGACCATTTTTATTAATTATTTGAAAAATAATATAAGAATCAATCTAGCATATTAAAATTATATTCAACTTAATTACTTTATTATAATTTACGATAAGTGTTAGCCATCCTTTATTTAATTTTTTCATTTATTAGTTTTTAACTCATTCCTTTTTCATTTTATTTAGATTCTGTTTCTTTTTTTAAAATTTACTATGGATTTAAGGATTTTTGCTCAGTCCATTCAATAACAAACTCATACCATATTTAATCTCCTATTACTTATCCAAATAATGAATACATTACTAATTTCAACTCTTAAACATCTGATAAATGTCTTTTATTTTAATATAATTTTAATATTCTTTCCTATTCTTCCTTTTAAAGTTATTCAAGTTATTACTAAAATTAAACTAATTTTAAATTATAATCTTTAATAATTAAATTTCCTTCACTAGGCATATTTTATAATTTAATTTGGGTATCTTCTTTATCTTATAAATTAATAGATTCTAATTCCTAATTTTCCCATTTAATTACATGAGCAAAAGATGAAGGATTCAAAGGATCTATTCCTTAAACAAATACTGGTTTTTTGATAGAAACCTTACTTCTTTTAAGCATTGTCTTCACTTAGTTTTTCAATTAAGATACACTTACAGGTTATGTTGAAAATAAACATTATTATGATTAAGTACTTTTTAAATTAGTATGATTATGATTTAGTTTTTAAGATTGAGATCTAGCATCTTCTATTTCTATTTCTAATTATGCAGCTTTAAGAAGATATTGTCTTGATTAATCATCTAAATATCTTGGAAATTATTCAATTTTAGCATTTTCATTGATTTTTTTCATTTATTTAATTATTTGAATTAATCCTTCTGGCATCAATTATTCATTTGCCTCTTAAAGTTATTTTAAAAATATATCTTTTAATAACATCTTACATCTTCTCTTTTTTTATCTTAATTCATCTAATTCTTTCTAAATTACTTCCTATTTATCTATATTTCTATGCATTTCATCTTTTATTTAGTTAATGAATTTTTAAATATTTCTAATTTCTTAATCTCTCTATTATATAATTTTTTCAATAATTTCCATCATGTTCTTTTTTTTACCTTCTTAATCAGGAACATAACCTAATCTCACTTTTTCTTCTTTTCCATAATATTTTCTTCTTATTTCACTTATTTCTTCTTCCTTTTTAGTTGTTTATTAAACTAATTAATTATTATCTAATCTCATTTAATATAAGGTTTATTTATTTTCTTTAATTTAAATTTAGAACTATTAATATGATTCCATTAATTATTTTGCAGAAGATGATGATTATTATCCTGTCATTACTATATTCTCTTAGAATTACTTAGGAGGTCTATTACTATAATATTTTGCCTTTGATAAGACTATATCATAATCAATATATTAAGCAGGATTACTAAAATATTCAGTTAATCCCTTAAAATTATTTAGTGTTGAATTTTTGATAGCTTATGATTAATCTCTTACAACTTAAGCTGTTTCTTAATCCATTTTTTAATGATTCCAATTTGATTTGGCTGTTCTATTAATTTATAAATCATCCAACTTCTTTGTAACCTTTTATAATAACAATGAATTTAAAATATGTTTATTCATTTCTATCCTAACTTAATCTAAAGTTTTTAAAACAGGATTATTAGATTCCTTATTTGATCTTAATAATTAAAATTTCACTTAAACATTTTAGTTCTATTCTTCATCTTATGATAAATTCTTTAATTATTATTTTTCTTGTGGTTTAAGAATAGAATTTATAATGGCTTAATTAATTTAAGGTCCTCCATCGTTGGCAAACTCATTCTCCATTAATTTATTGTCATTTTATTTAACTTATTCAAAAGCAAATGTTTTTTTCTTTGAAATTACTTATTCATGCCATTAATCTAATTATTCAAGTAATTAATCTTATTCATCCTTACTCTATCTCCTCATTCGTTTAGAAGAGGGTTTATTAGCAGATTCTGTTGCATCTCCTAAGTCAACAACATTCCTCATTTTTATGACTTTTCTATCTCATAAATATAGTTTTCCTAATACCTTTTGAAGTAGGATCAGCTTCTTCAAATTAATTAACAGATCTCTATCGAGGAATTTAGGTTGAGGGTTTCGAATCAAAGTTCGATGGAGAATGCACACTTGAACGAATTAATACATTTTTTTTATGCAGTTTCATAATTAATAAATATAATTAATAATTTACAAAATAATATAGAGTAAAACATTAAATTATTGTTAATTCTTTGTTATTTATTTTCTTAATAACAATAAATTAATTAAAACAGTTAAATAAGTAATTCTATTTAATCCTATTATCTAATTAAATTACAAATAATTGCAACCATTTTATATTGTTATTATTTAATCTATTTTCTAAATTATGTATTGCAAAATCAGTAAAATAGTTTTTTAATTGAAATGTAATAAATAAAGAGGAATAATCTATTGATAGTTAATATTGAAGTATTATGATCATTGCATTTATAGATTAATATCTTATTTAATTAAAATGTCATTTGACATTCAAAAATAAAAAAAAACTCAAGACAATAAAATAACAATGGTTAATGAAATGGTCTTTCTAAATATGACTATTTAATCACCTGTCAAAATAACACCATTATTAAAAAAATAAAAAACTAGAAAACAATACAAAAGAGCTGCAACTATCATTGATGATGATGATTTATATAAAGGACCATTTGAAGACAGTAGAGTAACAAGAATGATCTTTGAGAAATATAGAATAGTTGAATTAACTCGATTCTGGTTTATAATTGCATGTATGGTGCTAACGATTTTAGAAGTATAAATGTTTTGAATTAGTATGAATATAGTTTTTCAACATTNTTACATCTTCTCTTTTTTTATCTTAATTCATCTAATTCTTTCTAAATTACTTCCTATTTATCTATATTTCTATGCATTTCATCTTTTATTTAGTTAATGAATTTTTAAATATTTCTAATTTCTTAATCTCTCTATTATATAATTTTTTCAATAATTTCCATCATGTTCTTTTTTTTACCTTCTTAATCAGGAACATAACCTAATCTCACTTTTTCTTCTTTTCCATAATATTTTCTTCTTATTTCACTTATTTCTTCTTCCTTTTTAGTTGTTTATTAAACTAATTAATTATTATCTAATCTCATTTAATATAAGGTTTATTTATTTTCTTTAATTTAAATTTAGAACTATTAATATGATTCCATTAATTATTTTGCAGAAGATGATGATTATTATCCTGTCATTACTATATTCTCTTAGAATTACTTAGGAGGTCTATTACTATAATATTTTGCCTTTGATAAGACTATATCATAATCAATATATTAAGCAGGATTACTAAAATATTCAGTTAATCCCTTAAAATTATTTAGTGTTGAATTTTTGATAGCTTATGATTAATCTCTTACAACTTAAGCTGTTTCTTAATCCATTTTTTAATGATTCCAATTTGATTTGGCTGTTCTATTAATTTATAAATCATCCAACTTCTTTGTAACCTTTTATAATAACAATGAATTTAAAATATGTTTATTCATTTCTATCCTAACTTAATCTAAAGTTTTTAAAACAGGATTATTAGATTCCTTATTTGATCTTAATAATTAAAATTTCACTTAAACATTTTAGTTCTATTCTTCATCTTATGATAAATTCTTTAATTATTATTTTTCTTGTGGTTTAAGAATAGAATTTATAATGGCTTAATTAATTTAAGGTCCTCCATCGTTGGCAAACTCATTCTCCATTAATTTATTGTCATTTTATTTAACTTATTCAAAAGCAAATGTTTTTTTCTTTGAAATTACTTATTCATGCCATTAATCTAATTATTCAAGTAATTAATCTTATTCATCCTTACTCTATCTCCTCATTCGTTTAGAAGAGGGTTTATTAGCAGATTCTGTTGCATCTCCTAAGTCAACAACATTCCTCATTTTTATGACTTTTCTATCTCATAAATATAGTTTTCCTAATACCTTTTGAAGTAGGATCAGCTTCTTCAAATTAATTAACAGATCTCTATCGAGGAATTTAGGTTGAGGGTTTCGAATCAAAGTTCGATGGAGAATGCACACTTGAACGAATTAATACATTTTTTTTATGCAGTTTCATAATTAATAAATATAATTAATAATTTACAAAATAATATAGAGTAAAACATTAAATTATTGTTAATTCTTTGTTATTTATTTTCTTAATAACAATAAATTAATTAAAACAGTTAAATAAGTAATTCTATTTAATCCTATTATCTAATTAAATTACAAATAATTGCAACCATTTTATATTGTTATTATTTAATCTATTTTCTAAATTATGTATTGCAAAATCAGTAAAATAGTTTTTTAATTGAAATGTAATAAATAAAGAGGAATAATCTATTGATAGTTAATATTGAAGTATTATGATCATTGCATTTATAGATTAATATCTTATTTAATTAAAATGTCATTTGACATTCAAAAATAAAAAAAAACTCAAGACAATAAAATAACAATGGTTAATGAAATGGTCTTTCTAAATATGACTATTTAATCACCTGTCAAAATAACACCATTATTAAAAAAATAAAAAACTAGAAAACAATACAAAAGAGCTGCAACTATCATTGATGATGATGATTTATATAAAGGACCATTTGAAGACAGTAGAGTAACAAGAATGATCTTTGAGAAATATAGAATAGTTGAATTAACTCGATTCTGGTTTATAATTGCATGTATGGTGCTAACGATTTTAGAAGTATAAATGTTTTGAATTAGTATGAATATAGTTTTTCAACATTCCTTACGAAGACAATGGAATAAGAATTGAATGTCCTTTTGTATCTAATATTCTATATGTCAATAATAATTATTTTGCTTACAATTATAGCTTACCTAATAGAACTTGAATATAGAAAATGTTCTAAAATTATTTCCAATAAAGCATCACTTATATAAACTAACTTAATATGGGGATTATTAAGTGAAATTATAATTATAATTCCAACATCAAATCCTTTTACTAAAGGTTATTATGTTGAATTTGAATAAAGAGGAACTACAGAAAGTAGATTTTATATGGTAAATGAAATTTTAACATATATCATGTTTTTCAGGCTCTATTTGCTTCTTAATTTAGGTTTTAAATTTTAGACTTATTATTCAAATCGAATAGGAAGAGTATGGTATAAAATTGATAAAAATTTATATAGTCGTTTATATTAGACTCGTTTTGGAACTCATCTGATGTTGAAATTATGTATACGTTAATTCCCTTTTTATACTTTGACTTGGTTATTTATTGTTGGGTTTATACAATACACTTATTAATTAGAGATATCAGAAAGACCACTCTTAAGAACTTTTGATTCTTTAGATAATTATGGCTTAACCAAAAGTTTATGGGTTACTATGATAACAGTAGCAACAGTAGGTTATGGAGATTTCTTTCCTTATACTGATTTAGGTAGAATAGCAATGACATTGGGATTATTTTATGGTGTTACCATAACATCATTATTTACAGCTATTTTATACAATATGTTATAAGCAACATCTGGAGAGTATCAATCTTGGGCTTTATTGGACAAAGCTATAATAACAAAGAATATAAAAAAAGCAAGTTCAAGAATATTTTTTTATTTAAATGAGTTAAGAAAAGGAAAGAAATTATAAAAAGTTCAAGTGATGAATAACAATAATAATTTAGAGGAAACATTATTTAATTTAGAAAGATTTCTATAAGATGTAGGGATGTTGAAAAGGTATTAAATTATTTATTTATTCAATAGAATGCATAGAGATATTGATGGAGAAGAATTCTAAGAAATGATTAAACGAAAATTTGGGGATGCTAATTGTAAATTCAAAGAGATTAAATAACAAATATATAAATTTAGTGAATAATAAATTTTAATTCAGACTCACCTATCTAAACTATTATAAAATTCTATATTGGAAAAAGAATAGAATTAAATACAATAGATATAATTTTCATCTATTTCTCAATAGATTAGTAAGAAAAAAATAAGTACAGAAGAGGAGAAACTTAGCAAAGATGATGAATTTTTCAATAATTTAGATGATTCACAAAGAGATTCATGTTTAATGAGTTTCCATGATTGATTCAAAAAAATTGATAGTTAATAATATATTATGAAATCATCAAATTATGAAACAATAGAATTGTAAGGTAATCCTGCTTCAAGAGCCAATGAAGACGATGCATTTCAATAGCATGGAAGACTATCATATTTGTTTTAAACATCTTAACCATTAAAAATAAGTTAAAGAAAAAAGTCAACAATTATTGGAAGTTCAAAAAAGAATGCTTTTGAAGATAGTAGGATTACAAGACTTTATTTTGAAAGATATAGAGTGTTAGAATTAGGCAGAATGTGGACAATTTGTGCAAGTATTATTCTAATGGTTCTTGAAGTTAATTATTTATAAATAATATAGTATGAGGTTTCATTTGCTAATTAGTTAACGGAAACATACCAAGAAGAAATTAAAACTCTATTATATTTGATTCTAATCCTAACTATTGTTTCAAGTATTTTATTTAAACTATTTAGTTATAATGACATTGATGGCATATTTAGCAGAACTCGAATTTAGGAAACGATCTCTTACAGTACCCAAAGCCTCTAATATTTTTCAGACAAATCTCATTTTTCTTTTGTTAATAGAAACTACTATGTTACTACCTTGTCCAACTCCTTATACTATTGAATATAAAGTTTCATTCTCACAACGATATTCTGATTAACCAAGATTCTATTTCGTTAATGAGATATTAACCTTCGTAATGCTTTTTCGATCATTATTAATATTGAACATAGCATTTAAGTTCTAGTCGTTTTATTCGAATAGAGTAAATAGATTATGGTATTTTTTCATTTTTTTAATTTAGTGGTATATACTCAGTTGAATTCGGTCCTCATTTTATATTTAAAGTTGCTATTAGATAGAATCCATATTCTACACTTTGTGGACTTTTTTGCATGGGAATTTTCTTGTNAGCTATAATAACAAAGAATATAAAAAAAGCAAGTTCAAGAATATTTTTTTATTTAAATGAGTTAAGAAAAGGAAAGAAATTATAAAAAGTTCAAGTGATGAATAACAATAATAATTTAGAGGAAACATTATTTAATTTAGAAAGATTTCTATAAGATGTAGGGATGTTGAAAAGGTATTAAATTATTTATTTATTCAATAGAATGCATAGAGATATTGATGGAGAAGAATTCTAAGAAATGATTAAACGAAAATTTGGGGATGCTAATTGTAAATTCAAAGAGATTAAATAACAAATATATAAATTTAGTGAATAATAAATTTTAATTCAGACTCACCTATCTAAACTATTATAAAATTCTATATTGGAAAAAGAATAGAATTAAATACAATAGATATAATTTTCATCTATTTCTCAATAGATTAGTAAGAAAAAAATAAGTACAGAAGAGGAGAAACTTAGCAAAGATGATGAATTTTTCAATAATTTAGATGATTCACAAAGAGATTCATGTTTAATGAGTTTCCATGATTGATTCAAAAAAATTGATAGTTAATAATATATTATGAAATCATCAAATTATGAAACAATAGAATTGTAAGGTAATCCTGCTTCAAGAGCCAATGAAGACGATGCATTTCAATAGCATGGAAGACTATCATATTTGTTTTAAACATCTTAACCATTAAAAATAAGTTAAAGAAAAAAGTCAACAATTATTGGAAGTTCAAAAAAGAATGCTTTTGAAGATAGTAGGATTACAAGACTTTATTTTGAAAGATATAGAGTGTTAGAATTAGGCAGAATGTGGACAATTTGTGCAAGTATTATTCTAATGGTTCTTGAAGTTAATTATTTATAAATAATATAGTATGAGGTTTCATTTGCTAATTAGTTAACGGAAACATACCAAGAAGAAATTAAAACTCTATTATATTTGATTCTAATCCTAACTATTGTTTCAAGTATTTTATTTAAACTATTTAGTTATAATGACATTGATGGCATATTTAGCAGAACTCGAATTTAGGAAACGATCTCTTACAGTACCCAAAGCCTCTAATATTTTTCAGACAAATCTCATTTTTCTTTTGTTAATAGAAACTACTATGTTACTACCTTGTCCAACTCCTTATACTATTGAATATAAAGTTTCATTCTCACAACGATATTCTGATTAACCAAGATTCTATTTCGTTAATGAGATATTAACCTTCGTAATGCTTTTTCGATCATTATTAATATTGAACATAGCATTTAAGTTCTAGTCGTTTTATTCGAATAGAGTAAATAGATTATGGTATTTTTTCATTTTTTTAATTTAGTGGTATATACTCAGTTGAATTCGGTCCTCATTTTATATTTAAAGTTGCTATTAGATAGAATCCATATTCTACACTTTGTGGACTTTTTTGCATGGGAATTTTCTTGTTTTCGTACTAATTAGAAATTTCAGAAAGGTCATTATTAAGAACAACAACAGAAATTGATCAATATAATTTAAAAAATTCCCTATGGGTCTGCATGATTACAATATTTACAGTAGGTTATGGAGATCTATATCCAACTACTGAACTTGGAAGACTTTCTATGACATTAGGTTTATTTTATGGAGTCGCTTTGACATCACTTTTTACAGCTATTTTGTATGCTGATTTACAACCATTCGTTTCAGAATTAAGATCTATTACATTATTAGATAAGGCTAGTATAAAAATTGAAATTCGATAAGTTGCTGAAAAAATTCTCTTAAATTTTTATAAATTAAATTCTTATTTACATAGATATCAAATAAAAAATAGTGTTAATGATCCTGCCACTTTGAATAGAATTAATTAGATCTAAGCTTTTTTGTAAGAAGGATAATAACTTAAGAGGTATTTATATTTACAATTATAGAAATTATCGATCAATTGATACAGAAGATTTTATAGCTATGGCTGATAGATATTTCAAAGACATGAACCATAGAATAAAAGAATTTAGAGATATGCTTTAATAGATGAAATGTTAATAGTATTCTATCATTGAAAGAGATACTCCAAAAATGAGATCTACATAAAAGCAATGTCATACAATTACTGCTGCTAGTTATGATGTTAAAAGCAAAGATGATTAATATTTTGAATAGTTAATTGATTCTCAATGTGAGCATTCAGAGCTTATGCAGTTTAATGATGATGAATGATATTTTTATATATTATATTAAATACTGAACTAATAAAATTCTATTCAGAAGTATAAATAAATCCTTTTGACAATATCATATAGTGATCATGAGATTAAAATAGTATTTCAATTATGATTTATTATATTATCTAATAAATTTAAAATTGTTGTCATTAAAATAATCTTTTTGATAATTTTAATCAATATTTGATTAATTAATTCTGGATTATATAATCAAATTTAACCTCAGAAATCATATTTTACTTAATTATGTATAATTTTCTATAAGTATAATCTATAATTAAGGATGTAATTAAATTGTTGTATCACTATAATTCAAAATAATTGATATCATTATAAATAAAAATAATAAATTTTAGGTTTAATGAAATATTTCTCTAGGCTTATCTACTTTTTTATTTCGATAGGGTCTAACACTGAAAGGAGAAAATCATAAGTGGATTATGGTAATATGGGGGTGATTGTCTACTATTTTATATAATTGCTTGGTTAACTTTTTAGTTAATTTGAAAGCAAATCCATAGTTTTTTTTGAGAATGATTATTTGGCTAAAATAGGATAATATTCTTCAATCCCATTTACCATGATAGTCATTCATTATGATCCAATTACAAAAATTATGTATTATTGTATTTTTGGGACAATGTGTTCCATTTATGCAATAATAATTTTGTAAATTACATTCAAAGTATTATCATCATTGTATTCTAGCAACTATCAACAAATAGTTTTGTTAATAGATTTATAAGATTTTATTTTAAGAACTTTTAATGGTACTTCTTAACACCATTTCATGAATGTATGATTGGAGTATTGACTTGTGGTCGTTTAGCATATTTGGCTTAACATAGTGATCTAGACCCTAAACAATGTTTTTAATTAATTTCACCTCACTTTTTAGTTTTAAGCATCATAGGCTAAGTACTAGTTATCCTTTCAGGTTTTTTATCTTTATACTGTTTTAGAAATTATGAATTTGTCTAAGGAGATATAATGAGAAAATTTAGTTACTTTAATTTGTTAACTATCATATTACATATGGCATTATAAATGTCATCATTTTGGAAAGAAATGTTTACTCATTACAACTATCTTACTCATTCAATTTTCAATCTAATAATAATTATTATAGCTTTAGATATATATTTAAATATTCCTTTTGGTTTTTAAAAAGAAACAATTTTCTTTAGCAAATGTTTATGGTGTTCATGGTTTTTTGAAATTTTAGTTGCAATTTGGATATTTTCTGATTTAAATGATGGTCATATCTTTTTAAGTTTCTGTATATGTGTTCCTGTAATTTATATAGATATATATTATAGTTAATATTTGGTATCAATTAAGTACTTTATGACATTTATATTGATAAAGAATGTTAATTATTTTTAATGTCTAAATCAAATAAAATAAGTGAGCATCCATTAGAATATATTTGTTAATTATGTCATTTGGAGAATATAAAATAAAGTGATTACTACTTATTATTAAAATATTTAGGGATTCATTGTTAAAATTGTAATGATTTAACATGTCCTTGTAAATAAAAGTTAAATAAATTTATTTCTGGGTAAACCTAACTTAATACATAGCAAATATATATTTGGGTATAACATTAATTTTAAAAAATGATAAAATAAATTATGCAAAATTAAGATTAATTTTAATACTTTGAACAAATTACAATTAAATTTGTAACTTTCTTATAAAGATACAGAGAAAATTCTGTTTTATCATATAAAACTATTTAAGATGTTGTTTTTACATTTTAAAAAGTGAAACCAGATAGTATGCCAAAGTTCTTTTTAAATTTAATAAATTAAATATAACATTTAAATAAAATTGAAATAGAAAATAATAATAGAGTTGGTATATAGATAGGATCTTTAGAATTTCGTACTTTATAAGATTTTAATTTATTTTATAATTTTGAAGATTAAATTGTTAAATTAATTGTAGATTTACTCCTTTGTTTGAAATAATTATGGTTATAAAAAATGAATCAATATGTTTCTTATGAGAATATGATTTAATTTTCATAAGAAATAAAAGGAAAAACAGAATTAGTGAAAAGAGAGTTCATGAATTTTTAGAATTAGAGAGAACTTCCTGCTTTAGATACTATATTGATATTAAGAATAAAATTAGTAATTTCATTAGTTTGTATGGAAGATATTAATAGTTGTATAAAGATAGCTCAATAAATAGAATGTCAAGTGAAGGAACAAACAAATTCTAAAAGTTAATAATTTAATAATTTATAATTTTTAAATGGTCAAGCTTTATCAATAATATCTAATGTTTAATCTTAAACTCTAGGATATATTACATAAAAAATTAACGATTAATTTTGTGAATTTTTTGGATATTAAAATCCAAATATTCCATTAACTAAAATAGAATAATTATTACCTATTAAACTTGGTTAAATACATAATGGTTTGATTGAATCTTATTTATAATAAGGAAAGACAAATAGATTGTATGCAAATTCAGAATAATTTATATTGAACTCAGAAAATTTGATTGAAAAAGTTAATATATGTCTTACTGCCTTATTCCCATATTCAAATAATTAATATTAATTTTGGATTATAGGACATTTATTAAAAATGTTGAAATATGAAAAAAGAGAAATTGATTTAAATAAAAGAGGATATATTTTGGTTGATTCTGATTTTTTAATTTTTGGAATAACTAGAAATATTTATGAGAGAATCAACTATAAATATTTTTATAAAAATAATAAAAATGAAGATTTAATATTACCAAATGAAATATATGAATTAGTTGCAATTTAAGAATTAATTCCATCTTTATCTTAAATTTTTGAAGAATATTATAGATTATTAACTATAAAAAATAAAAAAAGAATTTTTAAATAAGATATTATATGTTAACGAGAAATAGGAGTACTTTAAGTTCTTACTTAAAAAAGAACTCAATATAAAACATCTTAATCATTATCAACAAAAAAATATACAAATAAATAAATGATTAATACTTTAAAGGAAATTAATACTAATATATCAAATAAAAAACCTTAATATTCTAAATTATATCCTATTGAATTTAGTGTAGTTTAAAAGGTTCTGTCTTATATAGAAAAAGACACAACGTGTGAATTTTTATATTTTGTAATAGAAATTGATTTTTTAGATGATCCAAAAATAAATTAATCTCCATCTTAATAATTAGCTTAAACTCCAGCTCTTTCTGATATATTAAAAAGATAATAAGCAATCTTAGAATAGATTAGACCTTATTAAAGTAATATTATACTCTCATGTGATGGTGAGGAAGTTAATGAATAAGTAGAATTAGTAGCTGAATTAACAAATACTGCTACAAAGCTTAGTTCATATGAAATTAATGAATAATTAGAGAAAATTATTGTTTATATGAATGACACAATTATACCAAAAACAATTAAAGATTTAATTGCTCATTTTCTTATGTAAATTGTTGTATTGGTTATAATTATAATATTAATATCTAATCTATTTTAACATAAAAAGAATCTATAATCAGATTGTATATTATAAATTACTGCTGATTTAAACTTTTTAGATGCATATAGTTAAACAATGTCAGGATCTAGACATGTAATTTATTATAGAGATTTTTATCCTATATAAAATGATACAATAATTCCATTTAATAATGATTCAATTAATGTTAGTAGATATGATAAAATATATATGGCTTGGTAACATATAGCAAAAGGAAGTGTTAGACTTAATGAAATGTATTAAAATTATTCAAAAATTGCTATGAAAAGTGATATTAAAAATATTACTATTTATTTTATTAATTTTGATTTGAAGACTAAGATATCACAAACTCTTTAAGATTATTCAACTTATTATCAAATAATGCATTAAACATTTTTTATGTCATACAAATCATTTGCATCATCACCATAGACATACTTATCTGGTAAAAATGATATATATATGACTTAAATTGCAAGATCATAAGTTTATTATAACTTTTTTGATGTAAGTGAAAGTGCTAATATAACTCTTTGGGATTGTTATACATATAATACTGAAATGAATGATTATTTTGATTAGATAGTCAATTATTATTTTATTGGATTGTATTTATCAATTTTATTATAATTAACAGCTTTGATTATTAATTATCTTAAAGTTGTTCATACTATTAAAAAATATTTAAAATTATTTAAAATGTGTGATAAAGAAGATTGCATTTAAATAATACATTAATTTGATTAATTAATAAGTATTGTATCATATAATAGAATATTCTTAAAACAAAAAGATTTTAAAATAATAATGACACTACCTTAATTCATATTAGATGATGTTAGAAAATGTTCAAATAGAGCAACAGTAGTATTTGTTAAAAAAAAAAGAATAAATAATAAAAATATTAAAATAAATTATAACTATTCAAGTTATTGTTCAATATTGTTTATTGTTTTAGCCACTCTTATAATATTTGCTTATGTATTTGCTTTCCATTTATATTATCTTCGAATAACTAATTCTATAGGACCTATAAGTAATAGGGCTATTTTAGCTTAAGAACATAGATTAAATTTTATTGTAGCCTTAAATCGATTTGATTTATTCTTAATAAAGTAATATTTTGAAACTTATGCACTAATTAACAGAACTGATACAAGACATCAACTCATGACAAGAAATATATAAACTGATACTTTAATATTAAATTTATTATCAATGGATGAAGAATTAATTCATTAAGATATCTCTAGAATAAGATCTGTAGATTTTGCTAGTTTGATACTTAAATATGAAGATTCTATTTCAGGACTTAATGATGAATAATAACATTAACTTTTAGGATAAGATGTTTGTATTTTAACAGGTTGTGATATGCAAATTTAATTATTGTATGATAGACTATATTAAAAAGAATTGATACCACTTTTTTAAACAGGAGTGCTCAATCTGCAATCCAAAGTATTATCTTTTGTAGAAGGAGCCTCTTAATTAATTTTTAAAAATTAATCTTATTTAGAAAGAGCTCATGCTTTAGAGTCCATACTTGATGATAGTGAATATCTCATTTATATGTTATGGGGAATTGATGTTATTTAATTTTAAATAAGCTAATTTAGTCAACACTTTTTAGACATCTCCTCATCAACAATAGATACATTAACAAAAGATAACTAAAACTTTATTATATTAATTGGAATATTAATGTTTATTGTTATTTTAGCATTTTAAATAATTTTTGGATATTACTAATTTAAACGATATATACTCTCTAAGGCAATTATTAAATCTATACCACTTCCCATCTTATTTCAAAGAAATATTCCTAAACATTTAGAAAGTTTTCGAAGAAAATATGAAAAATGATATTTTAATTTCAATATATGATTTAATTTAAATTGATTTTATAATCATAAATTCAATATAATAATTTATCTTATATTCCTTTATCTTTTATATCATAATAGTCTTTTATAAGACACTTTACAAATTTGAAATTCTAATTATTGTATTGTGAAAAATAATAATTAATATGGTAGTCCTATATTAAATTTTCACTCTTATATATAGAAGGTTTCATTAAATTTCAAAAATTTTATTTATATTTAATTTTGGAAAGAGATATTAATTCATAGATCATTACAAATAATCATTTTGAAAAAGTATCCTTATGCTATAGATTAAAGAATTATAAATAAATATAAATTTAGAAATTATATATATAATTTAAAAATAAATAAAAATGGCCATGGACAACAGTAAGTTTGAGCAAATGAGCAAACATTTTCCAAAGTCATTAAAGTTTTCATTAAATCCAGTTTATTATGGAGCCAGAGTTGGAATTCAAGCATACTTAGGATTATTAGTAGGTGGAACTTTGGTAATCTACCTTAATACATTTAATGGAATAACATTCCCATACTTATATAAGAGAGTAAAAATTAGATTAAAATATATAATAGTAAAAAGTTGAATATCAAGCAGTACCAGATTTCTATTCAAAATAAGTATTGCTTTATTAAAGAACAGTGCCAAATACAGTGACACAATTATGAGTTTATAATAATGAACAATATTAATAATAATAGTGATACCTAATATTCAATTTCCTGATTCATAATGGATTAATCCAAATCATAAGAAGAAATAATTTTATTTAAAAGATTATGGTATAAATCATACTCAAACAAATAACAAAAATCCTTTTTCTATTGCTTTTTTGTATTATTAACTCTAAAGTTGATATTTTGACAATTTTTTTGCATAATGAAGTGGTGCTGGTAAATAAGTGATAGAACTCAAATCGAAATTTAAGAATATTAAATGATAGTATAATTAAGCTATTTCTTTTGTGTTGATTGAACTAATGTATAATTATTATGCTTGTAAACATCCTTATTCTCCTCTCTATGAATGGAATGAAAATCTACCCTACTTTTCATTTATAGGGACTATACAACCAACTTAAGGGTTTTTACAATAGTAAGATTCACTAAAATAAGATAATATATTTTACAAATTCCTCTCGAAATAAGTGAAGTATCTTTCTGCATTTGCATCCTTTACTTAAACCATAATAATTTCAGGTATTATGATTTGTTAAGCTAATTCTTGATTTTATATTAATTAAATGACTCTTTGTATTATTTATTCCATAATCTGTGTATAATCATCTTCTGCAAATATAATGATTTAATTTGCTAATATTTTATGTGTGGCATAATATGTTGTTAAAAGAAGAGTAAGAATTTAATCTAAATCTCCAAAAGATGATATATATTTGTTGAAATATTTATTAATACTAAGACATGCAGAAAAGGAATTATCGCTTTTCCAAATTCCTAAGACAGCACTCTTTTTATTATTTATCTAACCATTAATTTCTTTAATAGACCAAGGTACACTACCAAGATTTGCAGTCATCATTGCTAATAATCTATTGATCTCTTGATCTTGGATTGGAAGGATAATTATTTAATTAGGAATGGCCTTAGACAATAAATTATTTCTTGCTTATGAAAAATCTGTATTTGAATCTCCAACAAAAAGTACATAAGCATCTTCAGTAACATATGTATCTATAATTTCATTCAAATTATTATTTATATCATATATTTAAGGCTATGTTATTTTATATTATCTAGATTTAATGAAGGAATCTAATTTATCTAAAAATGATTTAAAATTGTCTTTATTTTCAATTATTTCTTTAGTTACTAATATTAATAATTTATTAATAGTCAAAGAAGTTGTAAAAGTAGTTAGATTTTTAAGAAAAAAATCACTATAATAATATTCAAATTCACTGGATGTTCTAGATGCCACAATTTAAAATATTGATTTGGTTGAATTATTTAATACTAAATTTCCAGGTTCTAAATATTATTATTTGAATTCAACTTATTGATTTCTAATTATTAATTTATATTAATTTAAGAATTTAATAAATGATGAACTATTGTTAATAATTCTATTCCAATAATCTAATTATTAACAATAAATAGTAACATCTTATTCAATATGTTCCATTTTCAATTCACAAAATTCTGCAATTAAGAATTATTTCTTAATATTTTATGTGTTATATGTTTCTAAATAAACATTTGATTTGCTTCTTAATTAATATTTTTATTTAAAGTAGTCTTCTAAATATTAACCTTTATATGTAAACTCTTAATCAAAAACAACTGATTTAATTTGAACAATCATTTTTTTTTCAGGGTACCTCAATAAAACATATTTATTCTTAAAATATGTAGATGGATCAATATTATTTAAAGTTTTAATAATTTGATAACAATTTTGTATTGTAAAATATGATTTACGAACATCCATTAATATTGATGGTTATTCTCTATCCATCAATTGAAATTTTAAGGATGGATATGATTTTAATTGATTTACATATTGTAATTCAAACATATTAATTATACCTATATCTGATAACTTTTAATATTCTAATAGATTCATGGCTTCCTTAATAATAGTCATGATGATTTCTCCTTATTCAGATCTATTAAATTTATATTCTGGTAATTCCAATTTGTTTGTACTAATAATCAATCCATCCTTAAAGCTAATGGTATTAGTAGTCTTATTGCCATAATAGATATAAATTTCATCCAAAAATTCAGTCTCATAAATATTTGACCCCACAACTATTGTACCACTCATTTTATTTATATATTTTCAATTACATTTAATAACTAATCAACTTTTGGTCTCTTCTCAAAATCTTATTGCCAACACCATCTGATTATATCATCCATCAAGGATTTTGATTCTATCTTAGGTCTTACAGCTTTATTTAGACATTCCTATATATTTTATAGTTATAATCCTTCAAATGGTACTTTCTTTTCAAACATTTCATACATTATCATACCAATACTATATATGTCTCCTTCTTATGATCCACTTACAATCTAACCTCGTTACATTATCAATTCTGGAGCAGTAAATCCTGTTTTATTTGTATAACTTTATAATAGTGATTAATATTTTTTGATTCCAAAAAGACCAAAATCAACTTGATAATATAAATATTATAATTATACTTATTTTAACTCTTCCATTTGATTTAATCATTACATTTTCTGTTGTTAAACTTCCATGACATAAACGTTATTTATGAAGATAACTAATTCCACGTAATAATTAAATTAAAATCTCAATCTTTTCTTCTATTGAAGTCTAATATTATAATAAATAATTGTGTAATGAATATTAATAAAATTTAATTAAATATACTACCTTATTATCAACTATATTATATCCATGAATATGATAAAGATATTAATGATTTAATTAATTTACTTATTCTATTTCTTATTTTAATTGTTCAATCAAATATGTTTATAATTATTTAAATTCAATTATTCTCATTCCATAATTTTTTGATTAGATTTGACAAACTAGAATGTAACCAAATCCATTAGGTTTTTATCTTTTTATTTATGGATTTACAACCTATTTTAATAACTCATTATAATCAAATTGAATCTATTTTCTTTCCATTACTGAGCTATCATTATTTAAAAATTATTAACGCATAGGATGTTCTGAAATAGTACTCATAGTAACATTCTTATTTCCCAAAAATATAGAAAATGTTTATTATCTTAAAGCCAATATAAATGGAAATATATTTGCCAATAATAAATCAATTATAAGTAATGATATGTAAAGTAATAATTAATTTTGACTCAAATCAGATGAAAAGAATTTCTTTATCATTTCCTAATTTTCCATTAATAAAAAATTGCTTATTATTTAAATTACTCTTAGAATTGTCCAATAAAATATTAATTTCTATAATCTATTTGAAATATTTTCTTATTTTGATGATTTAAATGGGGATCCTGAATATTTATATTATAAATATAATGATGTTATGATAAATTACACTGGTATGGATAAATTGATGACAATATTTATATAAAATAGTACTTATGCCTCAATATAATCAAAATTATATAACAATACAACTATTAATTATGCTATTCCATATATTAAAAAAATGTCTTTCATTACATGAATTAACATATTTGGATTATATGGAAGTTCATCCTATTATCCAATATGTAAATGTGAATCATAATGCAAACAAACAACTGTCCAAAATAATGATTAATAAACTATCCAAAATAATCCATCAGGAATGTATATTGTATTTAACAGCTATTTTTCTATGCTCAAAATATAATCATCAGTATTTTCTTTGAAAATCTATTTTACATTTGTATTTATACGTCATATAAATATAAAGCCATATTCAACATATAGGCTAAACAAGAAAATACAATTGACAGATAAAAGATCTTTCCCAAGTATTTTGTTTTCTTTCCCATTTTGCAATATCTAATCACTCCAAAACAAAATATTGCTGTGTAAATCATACCTAAAACCAAAAAGGCTATCCCTAAAACGAATTCACTTTAGCTATTTTATGCATATCTCATTAATAATATTATTTTTATATTAATAATAATCTCGTGGAATTAGATTAGTTTAATCATTTTATGATAATAACTTAATATAATTTTATATAATATAATACATAATAATAATTAATATACTACAATGTCAAAATTATAAAGATGTGCAACTGCAGGAGCCCTTGAAGCAAAAATGACTCACTATGCACCAGATGGAACTGGTAAATACTATTGAAACAATTTATTAGGTAGAGATTCTTATGTAACATTATAAAACGGAGGAATTTGGAAAGAAATTTAAATTCAATGTGTTCATCCTGAATTGGGAACTTTTAGCAAATAAAAATAATGGAAACCTCCTGCTCCTATGATGGTCCCTAAATTTAGACATTATTAAAGTGATGGATCAGGAAGAGATAATTATGTAATGTAATTTTCATTTCATAATTATCTAGTGCAGATGAAGGAGGATTAGCTCCATCATCCAAAAAATTTCAAAGAAGAACCAACTTCTTCACATCTTTAAGAGATTATGAACCTTGTCCTCCAATACCCTAATAGGATTGCTTTAGATTAGCTTAAACTCCAAGTGCACAATCTTTTAAATAATACCTAAAAACTCAATAAATAGCTACTTAATAAAGTGATTTGATTAAAAGATTAAATATTCCAAAGATATCTGAAGATCCATATAAAAGAATAAGAAAGCTTTCAGCTCCATTTTATAGAAAATGATTAATTGTTATAAGTTAATTATAAATTAATATAGACACATTATTAGAATACTATAATAATATAGTCTTAATATTAAATGATTTTAAATCATTCTTTTTTTTTAATAAATAAGATATATTCACTATATTATTTATATAATATTCTTGTTTTTTAGATTGAATTTAATTCTGTAATTATTTATTATTATAATTTAATATATTAAATTTTTTGTTTATAACAACCAAAACCTTAAGTAATTCTAAGATAATCTTGATTTAATTACATTTAAATAACAATAAATGGATACACTGATTAATTTTAATTATTTTCTTTAATAATAATCATATAAAATTTGATAAGTATAAATATTTATTATAACCAAATTTCATTCTCCTAAACAATTAAAAATATATATATATATTTAGTTAATGTATTTAGTATATTTAAGATTTTTATATTTCAATTTAACTATCACTTTTAAGTTTTAATGATTTATTTGATAAATTTTCAATTTTCAATATTTAATAAAAATCTATTTAGATTTTAACAATCTATATTTAATCTTTTTTGAGTGTAATTTCATAAAACCCTTAGAATTAGATATTAAGTTTATATAACCACCTTTTATTTTAATGAAATTCAATTATTAATTACAAATGTGTTGAATTCTAAAATTAATGAAGAACAATTGCAAGATTGTATGTAATTTAGACATTTGTAATTCTAAAGGACAATGAATTCTATTATGTCAAAATTTATTATAAATATTATATTATTTGTTTTTTTCTTAATAAATTTTATTATTTGTAGTCATTTCCAATTAAGATTCTTATAATATGTTACATTCTTGTAATTTTTGTTAATAAATTATATAATTTTAATAATAATAATATAATTAAATGGAGAGGATAGACAGCTTTGAAGGAAAGCTATTTTACAAAATTTATATGCTTTGTAAGAAAAATCAGATAAACGAAGAATAGAAAGGAAAATTAAAAGGTATTTATTAATACTGAACTCATAAATAGACCTTGTGATTTTAAGAGATGAAAGAATTGAGATCGCCATGAATTAATATCTTGAAGATAAAGATGAGTTCCGACTTTTAGAAAATTTTCATAATTACTCTGGTGAAGAATATTCTCCAAAGAGTTTCAACAATTTTTCAGATGATGTATCAGTAGGAAGTCACAGCAAATTTAAGGGTAAAAGACCTGCTAAAATGGAATTACCAAAAAAAACATTCATGATTAATTTAAGAAAGTATGATGTCAAAAAATTATCCCAAAGAGATACAGATGTTACTACCTACTCTAAAGGGTTTCATTTAAGTACTGCTAGATCAAGTGATAACCGAAATGTGCTTGCTTTTAATGAACGATATACTTAATAGAACTGGAGTGAATGTGAATGATTATAATTTTAATATATTTATCATACACTAACTTTAAATGAAAAATAATATAAGCAAAGTTCTATCAAATTGATGTTCAAAGTCAATTATGCATTTTTATTACTTAAGTTCGTTTTAAGAGCATAATTTCAATTAAATGAATTTGGAAAATAAATTCATTTTATTAAATTTAGAATTAATGAATTTCAACTTTAGATCTAAATTGTTTATAAATAATATAAACTAATATTAAAACAATTAGTGTAATGAATATATTTGATGTTTAAAATATAATTTAATTTAATTCCTTCATATATTTTAAGATATAATGATATTTCTATATATATATGATTCATAAGTTTAACTGAATTCTTAATTATTAACATTATTAATGAAATATTTGATGATAATTTCAAATTATTATTTTTCTGATTTAATCATAAATACACTAAGATTATTAAAAATTGGTTAAATATGTTATTAATTAATTATTATTATTCAAAAATTCCATAAACATTATTTTATGATATTAAAAAAATACATTATCATAGCAGAATCGGGATAGATGTGTTTTTGCTTATTCATATGTTCTATCTTTAATATTTATTCAAATTAAGCATGTTTGAATAAAACTTTAAAATCTAAATATTTTCAAGGAGCTAAATAACATTAATTAAATTCACTTTATTTTTTAATAAGTAATTCAAATCAATCTCAAAAAATATTTCTAAAATTAAGCTAATATCCATTATAACTATGCATTTAAATTATCATTATTTTATAAATTAATCGTTAAGTCCATAGGATAAGTTAGATTATTTTAGTCACAATTCTGGTTCTATAAGATGACAATATCTTTGAACGTTATGAAACTCTAAATCACAAATATATATTTTATATATTCATCTTTGATTAAGTAAGTAATAAGTAAATTCTTTTAATAGTATTTCGTTTTCCTTTACTTTGATTTTACATCAAGTTTAAAATTGAATCAAATCAAAAATAAAACAAAATTCCCTATTTGTTTGAAATTTTAATAAAATTTGATTTTAATGTAGGTAACTTCTTGAATATTAAAAAATTTCATTAGAAAAGACAAAAAAAAACATTCATTAAATTCTTTTTTTAACATGACACTTCAAACATTATAAATAATATATATTTAAGAACTATGTTAAAATAATTATTAAAACATTTTGTGTTTATTCAAATTGATAGACTTAGAGCTTTATTAATTTAATTGCAGTATTTAATTAATTTAATCTAAATTTATTGTAATTAATTACGATTTAGCATACTATTTTACAACAACATCACTGTAAATAGGTAGATAATACATAATCAGTTATTAAAGTCATATGTTTAATTTGCAATATTTTATAATATAGTAATTATTCATTATGATATATTAAATATTATCTAATTTTTGTTAATATTCTTTTTCATATATATTTTATCAGTACTTAAAGAAGATTGTTTAATTAAATAAATTTGAAAGAATATTTAATTAAAATTTTGAATAATCTTTTTTTTTCAAAATTCATTCATTTGTTATTATTTATCTTGAGATATGAATTAATTGGATATAAAGTACTTAATCAAGAGAAAAAATAAAAATAGGTTCTATTAAAAAAAAAAATTAAAACAGAAACATTTGAAAATAACTAAAATATATAATTCATTATTTTTTGCCTTTAATCCATTAACCTTCTGTGACATGACCATTAGGATCAATTAATTTTCCTTTTCCATGTTGTTTTCCATTCTTCCATTCTCCTATGTATTTTTACCCATTCGACCATGTCATTTCACCTTAGCCTTCCTTTTTGTCATTTTTGAATTAACCTTAAAAATAAATTAAGGATAATACCTTGATATTGTTTCCCATCATCAATTAATATTCCTTATCCTTCCATTTTTCCTTCAACCCATTATCCTTTGTAAAGTCTTCCTCCATACCATTAATATTCTCCATAACCATGAAAATTTTCATTTAAAAATTCTCCATCATAATATGATGAGTCATTCCATTTAAATATTCCTTTTCCAGTCTTCTTCCCAGCTTCAAAATTTCCTTCAAAATAATCTCCATTTTTCCACTATATTTTACCTTTTCCATGCTAGAATTAAAAGAAAAACATACAGGAAGACCATTTTTTAGTTCTCCATCGTATACTCCTCCATCAGGATAGACATATGGAGTATTAATACAACAACCCATAATTCAAATAAAATAATCAATCAAATTTGTACTATCAATTGATTTAATCTCATTTCCATTTTTTCCAAGGTTTGGTTTTCACTTGATTAGAAATACTTAAATAATGATTCCTAAACCATTTAGTTCTACTATTATTGATTTTTTTAGTTTCAAATCCTAACAATTTGTTGTCAGTTAAAAATTTAGAAAATAAAGTGAAAGTATGAAATATATTATAGGACTTACTTATTTTATTTTTGAAACATTGTATATAGGTTGAATAAATTTAAAATATAACAAAAATGCTAATAAAATCAGCTTCATAATCAATTAAGTTAAGAAAAAAAATAGGAAATATAAGATAATTTATTTAATTGAGTATTTTATATATCTAATAGTTAAATAAATAAAATATTATACATTATCACTTAATATTTCATAAGGGAATCGTTTCTTATTATTTGAAAGTTATTATTACAAATATTGGTATCTTTTTGTCAAAATACAAACCATATTTATAAATAGTATATGAAAAATTGTATTTTGTTTCTTTACATAAGTTAAGCATTATTCTCTTCTAATTATTGTATCATTTTATTGAGAATTAATTAAATTAAAAAATATTTGGTAGTCTTTTTTAATATTTTTATAAATCTTAAATATAATCTATGTAGGTTATTTTAGTGAACTTTTAAATATCATATATATATATACTTA